CCTAACTCTTTGTACTACACAGCATTACTATTTATTCCTGTAATTCAAGTTTCAAGATTTTACTGTCATTGTCAAAGAAAAACAACAAAATAGTGTTTAGCACAAAGGTGCCTTAAGTCCTTAAATGGCCAAAATGAATGAACAAGAGCCAAACCTGCACATAAAAAGTGATTAAACTGACTTTAAATGTTAGAAAATAGACATGACTGTCCTCTTTCCCATCTCCTGACAGACTCCTCCTTAGAGCATCAAACACTGCATAGTTTTGAGAATTGTTTGTAAAATAGTACATTGTCATGATGACTGCTTCAAGGTTTCCTAAAGTCCTAAAGATAGGGTTTACTCTGTGCATGAACCTGAGAAAAAATACTGTATATAAATTGTTATCCTCCAGCTATGGCGGCAGGAGCTCAGTGGGCGGCAGTAGCTCAGCTGGTGGAGCCCACTGATCCGAAGGTTGGCGGTTCAAATCCTGTTCTCGACAATAAAATATCTCTGGTAAAGCGGTCAGATCCACTGACCCACAGGTTGGCTGGTGTGATTCCAATTCCCACATATGAATGTTGTCGTTGTGTCCTTGGGCACTTGGGCAAGACACTTAACCCACCTCGCCCCCAGTCTCTGTGTACACTGGTGTATGAATGTGTGAGTCAGTGAGTGAGTGGTTCCTTGCTGTAAAGAGCTTTGTGTGCCTTGAAGGTGCTATAAAAAAAATGTGAACATTTACCATTTACTTTTGATCAAGATTGCTGGCTGCACCCATATGGACATAAATAAGGCTCTAGCTGTCGCTTTCCAAATAGCAAGTTCGAATGCGGGCTCTTCCGGCTCCTACTGACCCTGGCTCCCATAAACTTACATTGGAATATTGTCGTCCCTTTCACTGTAACTGCTGTTGTGAGCCTCTTCATTTTGGTCTTAAAATGTTTATCTGAGCGCTGAGGGAGGTGCTCAGGAGGCATCCGGAACCGATCCGGAGCCTGAGACACCTCAGCTAGCTCCTCTCAACGTGGAGGAGCAGCGGCTCTATTCCAAGCTCCTCCCATGTGACCGAGCTCCTCACCCTATCTCTAAGGGAGTGCCCACAATCCCATAAAAAAAAAAAAAAAAAAAGATCTTCATAGTATAGAGTCTGGCTCCAAATTTGCACCTATAACCTCTAACATCGCAAGCTTCATTTGAGTGGCGCTGAATGCTGCAGGTGACGTCACACTCACTTCACTTTTTTTTTACTCTTCTCTCTAATTTATGTCTCTCTTTTTTAATTTTAATCTTTATGATTATTTATGTTTCAATTAGTTTTTATTGTGATTTTAATGTATTTCTTATTCTGTAAAGGACTTTGAATTACTTTGTGTACGAATTGTGCTATACAATTACACTTGCCTTGCCTTATACAGTCTATGGGTGCACCTTATTCACCCAGGTTGACTGACTGCATTGGTTGAAAAATGGGTCAAATGCAAAAAGGGAACATTTTTTCCTGAACAATAAAGTCTGTAAAATATGAGCAAATACAAATTGTGGGGACAGAGTCTAAGTTCACTGGCTTCTGAATCTCTCAATTTCCGCAATCAGGTCATACACCCTGTGTCCACCCACTTTAAACTTCATCAATTAATCAGTTTGGATTTCCTGGCCTCCAAGCTAAGTCTGCACCGGCACAAAATGAAAAACAGAAAAACAATCAACATCACTTTGTGTAAATTGCTCCGTGTTTAAGATACATATTACATGATTGGGTGGATGGGTGTCAGCGAAAGAGCGAAAGGAGGGTTAAATTATGCACTATTTGTATTTATGAATTCAATGAGGCAATTACACTGTTGAGTCAAGATATTTTTCTGTAAAAACTATAGCTCATCAGGCTATAGTGTATGTTTTGAATAATTTAAGTTAAAGGTCCAATATTAACAAAATTTACTCTTTTGATCAGTGTGCCATGTTATAATGTTGTTTCCTCATCAACAACATACCTGGAAAATAACATAGTTGAGGAAATGACATTATAACATATTGTAAATCAGAACATAGTGTACCGGTAAAATAAGCCAAGAAAAAATAAAATAAAACAAGAGCACCCAGACATGAAGAGAACATGCAAACTACACACAGAAAGAAAGTCATTTCTTTTTATTATTATTATTATTATTATTATTATTATTATTATTATTATTATTATTATTATTAACATTTTATATAGTTATTTAGTAGTTTATTTATTAATAGTATTGTATTTAATAGTTTATTTTATTTATTTCATTCATAAAGCATAAAAAGACATCGACATTGTCACAACAGCAGACACAAGAAATGAATGAAAAGGAGCAGAAAGAAGAAAAAATCTTATGTTAACTCCTTTCACAGCGACACTTCGCTCCATAACCTTGGTTCTGAATCTGGGTTTTTTAAACATGTAGGTTCCTTTTAAATTGTAGTGGCTTGTTCTCATCTCAAACAGTCTTTGAATATTTACAGGTAATACATTGCACTTTGCTTTATACATGACTTTGAGGAGACTTAAGTCAACAATATCCTGCATTTTGAACCCTTTAAGTTGAACAAATATTGGGTTGGATGGCTCTCTACAGTGACTGTTGGTGATAATTCTTAAGGCCTTTTTTTGTAAAATAAATAAAGGTTGTAGGGAAGTTTTACATGTTGAACCCCAAATTTCCACACAGTACATCAGATATAGTACAATTATAGAGTTATACAAAGTTAATAATGCTGTACTATTTAGTGAGAACTTTGCTTTATGCAGAACGGCAATGGCTTTGGAAATTTTGCCTTTTGTGTAATTTATATGAGACCTCCAGTCTAGACCTTCATCAGTCATAACTCTAAAAATTTGGTTTAATTTACTCTTTGAATCTGTATCCCATTCTATTTCTAATGTTATGTTGTCTTTTTTCTTTTTTATCATTATATAAAATGAAATTTGTTTTTTTTAACATTCAGAATCAATCTATTTAAATCAAACCAATATTTTACTTTTCTTAGCTCTTTGTTAACTTTACTTGTAAAAGAAAAGAGGTCTCTTTTATGCCTTTTCCAGAGTAAAATAATGTTGTGTCATCAGCAAATAGAATTTTCCCAATCTCAGAAACTTTAACAAATTTTCAAAACAACAACAAGGATATAGACTACAACCCCATTTGGATCATGACACCAAATCACTAAGATTAATATGAACAATGAAGACACAATATTAACTCCATATTAATACCATATATTTTTAACATTAAACAAAAATTCACTCTAAAAAAAACTGAAATTTCCTTCTCTACTAACAAAAAAACATTTTAATTGTAAAGGAATATCTGATTCAAATCCTTGCAAATTAATATGTTATGTTGGCGAATCAATTCCAGCTCCCACAGATGAATGCTGTTGCGGTGCCATTGGGCAAGACACTTAACCCACCTCGCCCTCCAGTCTCTGCGTACACTGGTATGTGAACGTTTGAGTGGTTCTTTGATGTAAAGCTCTTAAAGGTGGAAAAGCGCTATCTAAAAATGTGACCATTAGTTTTCCGTGTATCAGTACCTTGACCTGCTGAACCTGCCTTAACCCGCTCTGACCTGTAACATGTAAAAATCAAGATATATTTTTAGACGCTATAGTACACTGTGAATATAGACTGTCTTTCAAAGCTACTATACCATGACATTATCTCATCAACAGCCACTCCACTAAAATATTTGATCACAACAGCGTGCTAATTGTGTGTACTTTTGACCAGCAGAAGTTAATAGGTCTACATATTCTAGTCTAGTGACTCATGGGCACCCACACACACGCTTCTATTTACTGCTCAATCTCTTTTAACAGTACCCTGAATGACAAGAGTTTTAATTATTACTAAGCACTGTTTTCATCTGTTCACGCAATGCATTCTCTACGTGGCATGCAAAAACACATTGAAACAAACATCTTACAACGGCACACATGTGAGGGGAAACAGATGAAGAATGTTAAGAGCTCGCGGATAACAAAAGTAACTATGGAAACGGCCCGGGCGCTAACATTGCTCTAGCTTTACCGTGGCTCTCTCCAGAAATAAAAACTGTTGAGCTTAGAGCGAATCAGGTAAAGACAAAAGATCCCGAGTGAGCCTATTTATAGTGGCACTTACATAACATAGATAGACCTGTGTGCAACAATGGCTGCACTGCATGATTTGGAGCAGAAAACACGGGTACAGTACAAGCATCTTGACAACACATTTTAGGGCACGATTGTGTGGATTATTATAATGTGTGTGTGTAGTTAAAGGTACAGTATGTAACTTTTTTTGGAAGGGAATCTGCCACTAGCTTGTCTCCATGGAGATATACTTGTGTCACCTGGAGTGTTCCCTATTTCGGCGGTACATTCAGCATTCATTCAATTACAAGTGTTTTTATAGCTTGTAAATACTTTGAAACATGCATTCTTACTGTGAGCGGGATCAACTCTCCACAGATCTGACTTGTAACTTGAGCTTGAATGGTGGGATCGGCTGCTTGTCTCCATGGAGATATACTTGCTCTGCCAGGAGTGTTCCACATTTTGGCTGTAAACATGCATTCATTCAATTACTGGCATTTTAAAACTGTGAAAATACCATGAAACATGTATTCTTATAGTGTAAGCAGGGTAGCCTTTCCAAAGATCTGACCTGTAAATGGTGGTGTCACTTACTTGTCTCCATGGAGATATACTTTCTCTGCCAGGAGTGTTCCACATTTCGGCTGTAAACATGCATTCATTCAATTATTGGTGTTTTTAAAGCTTGAAAATACCAATGAACCATGTAATCTTACTGTGAGATCACCTCTCCAGAGATCTGGCTTGTAACTTCAGCTTGAATGGTGGAGTCAGCTGCCTGAGTGTTCCCTATTTCGGCGGTACATTCAGCATTCATTCAATTACAAGTGCTTTTATAGCTTGTAAATACTTTGAAACATGCATTCTTACTGTGAGCGGGATCGACTCTCCACAGATCTGACTTGTAACTTGAGCTTGAATGGTGGGGTCGGCTGCCTGTCTCCATGGAGATATACTTGCTCTGTCGGGAGTGTTCCTCATTTTGGCTGTAAACATGCATTAATTCAATTAAAGCTGTTTTTATAGCTTGAAAATACCATGAAAAATGCATTCTTATGCTGTAAGCAGGGTAGCCTTTTTCGTAGATCTGACCTGTAAATGGTGGCGTCGCTTGCTTAACTCCATGGAGATATACTTGCCCTGCCAGGAGTGTTCAACATTTCGGCTGTAAACATGAATTCATTCAATTACAGGTGTTTTTATAGCTTGAAAATAACATGAAAAATGCATTCTTATACTCAACGAGGCCGCCTGTCCACAGATCTGGCATGTACACTTGCCTCCATGGAGATTGCCTAATGCCATACCGTGGAACATTCTAGGCATACCAATAAAATCTCCAGCGCGTCCAGCCTAAAAATTTGAAACAAAACATAATAATACAAACAGACATTGCCTCCCGAACACACAAGTACATCACAGACTTGACCATGGGACAAATGAACTCCTGACTTACAATGCAGCGCTATCATAAAATCATATTGAAGCATTAGTACAATTATCCCTTGACTGTTTTAATTAGATAGCTCTCCACTGTAAGTAAAATGACAGCCAAAGTGTATTTAAAAGGCCTCTTACCACTCATAAATGGCTGAATAATTAGCTCCCTCTAGCACAAAGTCCCAGTAATTACATTCAATACAACAGTGGAATAAGAGGGCATTTCCAAGTTTGGAATTGCTCTGTGATTAGATCTGTACAATTAAAATCCGGCAATAATTTGGTATTATAATGGGTCATTTTTAAGTATATTCAGTGTTTCTGTACCTTTGAGCACTCCTTATACGTTCTATAGGTGAGTAAGGAAACAAAGTAATGGTATTGATAGACGCATTAAGCTTTTTTTTCCTTTTATTTAGGTATAAAGTCCCATATTTAGATCATAATTTTGTATTTATTACGAGTCCACATGTTTTATAGGCAACTAAGTATTGCTGATTTTCAGATAAGGTCTTAATATTTTATACCTTATATTTTTTTATTAAATGAATATTGTTATGCAGCTTTTTGTTGCAATAAAGTTAGTGGGTCTGGTCACAGATAGAAATGATTAGGTACATTACATTTGTGAATTTACCTTTTGGATATTTCATGGCAAAGTACAATGTAATAGGGAGTACGACATCAACCCATTCTCGAATTTCGACCCACCAATACAGCGATGGCCGGGGACAGGTGGTAGGTAAACATGGACATTTCTTTTTAGCACCAAGGCGCAAACACAGTGGCCAGGCTGGCACCACCTAGTGCCTCTGCTCAGTTTCATTTCTCTCCAGCGACAAGGTCAGGAATCAGAACTAGACGGTTTGCAAAAACCCTGAAAGTGCAAGTTCAGGCACCAGCCAATCAGCGAAGAGCAATACATTCTGTGTTGGCAACAATTCCCAAGATCGAGGATTTAAAGCCGGAACAAAAAGAATGTTTGGTGAATTTGATCAAGGGGAAAGACGTTATTGCCCTTCTTCCTACAGGATTTGGGAAAAGCTTCATATACCAGTTAGTCCCATTAGCGGAGCATTACATACATCACAACCAAATAGCAGCAACTGGTTTAATAAAAAAAAGTACCCACCTACTGTCGAGGGAATAGATTCTAATGCTGCGAGGTCAGACAGTTTCTATGAAGTGAAACCGGCTAATGAATCAGGCTCCAAACACAGGACAATACAGAATTGACTCTTATCAAGTCAATGACGAGGGACAGTCTATGGACCAAATTCTGATATTTTACTTACACAGTGTCAGCACAGACTCTGCCCACTGTTTGACAAACTCTGTAAATTAAGTTAAATTAAAATACTGAAGCAGGGCTGTAACTCTTTAGGTGAAGCACTTCATATTATACTGTGTACATTTACAGATTCAAACCTGTAAAATCAAATTACCTGAGCATGTCTCGACCTTCAGCCTTCAAAAAGAGTAAAGTCTTGAGAAACTTGTTCATCTAATCTCTCAAACAGAACTGTATTCCTCCTTTGCTTGAGAGAGTTTAAAACCACATTAACCCTTCCAGACCAATGGTATCGTATACAACACCTGGGAAGATGTTTTATATAACCGTGCATAACTTTCCAACCATAAAAGATAAAACCTTACTTTTGTTTTTCCTTGAAAAGCTGAGACTGAGTCAAGATAGTTGACATGGCTCTGAGTGTCTGTGTACGTAACAACTAAAAAAGCCAATCTAAGTGCACTCATTTCTCAAATTACGCATCTTGGTCTGCATAATTGCACATCCCTTGCTATTTTTATTTGAAAGGTTTAGTTCACTCAAAATGTACAAATATAAATGTAATAAACACCATGGAAACGCAGGAAGTGATGTGGCTCTGTGCCCTCGACCTGACACCAGCTGTTTCCATGACTGGCACCAGGAAAGTTATCGGGCCATTGCACTTTTTTGTATGTTTTGAGGCAATAAGGATATTTTTAGTTTAGGTACCGACTTGATATTTTGCAATTTTGTAGCTAAGGCCCTAAATTAAGCATTTCTTATGTCTAAAAAGTTGTTTATACATTTTTGCTGCGTGTTTTGTATGATAGAATGTGAATTTTATTTTCTGTTTTCTTTTTTCATTTGTATTTCTGGTCCTATAGCTTTTATTACAGACATATGACACAACTACAGTGTGCAGATTGTAAAATAAGTTTGTACTGAAAAAAATAATGTATAACACTTCATTAGTGGGTAAAAGGGGGAGTTTTAATATCAGAATCCAGGAGAGGACAAATGTACTAAAATTTCCCCCATAGGTTTGGAAAGGGTTAATATAAACAATGTAGACAGAATATTTACACTACCATATTTCTAAACAATAAACCATTTCGGAGCAAAGTCTGATCTCAGTCTGAATGTGGAGAGTTGTGTCCTTGTCAAGTGGTAGAAATGTTTTTAATCGTGAAAGAGCATCTGATCCAATTGCTTGCAAATCAGTATGGTAATCACCGCATACAATGAAACAGTAATTTAGTGACAATAAGAAGAAAGCCGACTTAATCTAACAGCTCCAGAGCCCGTAGAGTTGGTTTGGGCGATTCTGGAGGATGTGAGTGAATGAGGCCTGACTCATATGTTTATTATGCAGTCACATTAGTTAGCTCTGATGCTGTTTTCCTATTATCCCGTCTCCCTGTGAAAAAAGGGTCTTGGGTGAGTGGGGCGAGTACTTTAGTGACAGAAATCTGCTCTCTTCAAAGGAATAAATGGATCAGAGGACATTGTTAACTGTACAGGAAGTGGCTCATCTATGTCAAAATTCATCTAAAAATCAAGTAAAAGCAGATTTACAGCTGAAATGTTGTATATTATCAGGTGGATTAATAGGACAAAATGCTCTGTTCCACCTTGTGATGTCATGAAGCAGTAGTTTTCAAGTTCACAGCTCCTCTTAGCTTTTGTTCAGAAGAGATGGGCAGTTCCAGGGCTGAAATTTGGTTATTATGGAAATTTAACAGGGCAAAAATACAGTATATGCCAGACTTCCAAAGGTCGAGGTAGTAAAAATAGTAAAAATAGGATTACTGACACTGGATTTTTTCTTCTATGTGGAAAAATGCATCAATACTTAAAGGGCATATATTACACTATTTTATATCTATGTTATAAAGTTGTTTCCTAATCACAAACATACCCAGAGTTGTGTTTTGTTTCACACGTTTAACACACAAACCCTGCATATTTAGGCTGAGTTCTTCTCTCAAACGGAAAACACTCTGTTCCACCTTGTGATGTGGTAAAACAAGAAGTGCTTCACTGTGGTTTTAAACTCCATATACTTTCACAAGCAGTATTTGGATAATTTCAGCCTTGCAACCGCCAGTCTCTGCTGAACTAAAGGTAAAAGGAGCTGTTAACTTGGAAATTGCCACTACATGACATCTCAAGGTAGAACAGAGTATTTTGAGCTTCAGAGATGTAGACAGACTAATCATAAAAGGTCACTGAAACATGTGAACAGAACAAAACACAATTTCAGGTGTGAGTGAAAAGCTCACAAGAATCCATTTTGTGTAATATAGCACCGTAAAATAAATATATATTAATTACATCTTCTCAAGGAACTAACTATTATTTTAGTAACTGAAACTAGTCAGTGATTATTTTCTATTAGTTGAATAGTCAAACAATAATTTCTATTAAACACAAAGATTTTTAAATACGTTTTGAACTAAATAAAGTCTGAAATATCTTGTGAATATTTACAAATAAAAGTGTATTTTTCTGTTTGTCCAGTTAACTCATCACAGTTACTCTGATGAATTGTTCCAGGCTTCAGACACACTCCATTATCAAACGGAGACTGGGCAAATGAAGGTTTTTTTTCAGTTGTACTGCAGCTCTGCAAACTGACGACAACTATTTTTAGCCTCTTCAATGCACTGAGCTTTCTACTATACAACTGCACATTTAGCCCATTGAAAGGACTCATAAAAGTCCAGGTTGGAACCCAACAGAGACACAGACAAACTAACAGCCAGGTGCAACGTTTTATATCAAGTATTTAGAAAACCTGCCCTGTGTGGTTCTGAGTGAATATATGTCAGCTAATGTCAGGGAGTAAAAGGGACCATCAGTGTACTCTCATCATATCTTTTGATGTTTAATAATTAAACACCAGGCCAGCGCGACTGTGCACCATGGAAACCATGCAAAAAGGATGTAAGTTGCCACTGATTGACGTCAGCTCGAGTCCTCCAAATGTGCCATCAGACAAAAGAGAGAGGAGCTGCTGTACTTAAGGTCACTGTGTTTTGAAGTTCCTGTCTGTGGAAATGACAGAGGTACTCTCTCAGTCTGTGGTCTGGACAAGGAACAAGCTATTCACTGGCTACTGAAAGGACCCATTGTGTACTGTGCTATTTACACATGTTTAAACATGTAGACACAATGTAAACATGTATTCATATTATATCACAGTTATGGACAGGCTCTAAATGTGGTGTGAAAGTAGACCTTTCCTTATTTAGACGTGACCCACTGCCAACACAGAGACATAAACATTTAATTTAAAGAATTTATTGTTTTTAACAAAACAATACCACACTCTTGAGTGCAGACCACAGGCTCAAGTACCAAATACTGCATTTTTCAGTAGCAGTGACCAGTTGCAGCTGAAAGACCATGATCTAAAAGGTCTTTATAAATTAAATACAAAATGATCAAGAAAGCAAGTTCAATACTCCAAACATGGCACAATAAAAGACAGAGGCTCTTATCTGTCAAGTACTAACACAGGGTTGTTCTTTTACAAATTATCTGTTTTTATTCTAGAAAAAAGCTGCTGTAAACTGTGAAAATGTATCTTTTATGTGTCAATATGCTGCAGTTTTTATGGTGCTTTGATACCTTTATAAAACCATATTCAGTTCTTAAACCTTGAATCTTTTGTTACAAACAAATGCAGATGAATGAATGTCCCGCAATAGATAAATCTCGCTCAGTAATGCTCTCCCATTATTAACACCGTGAGCGCTGACCAGCCCGTAAATGGGTGGCTTCCTTGGCCTCTGCCTGTGCTGTCATTGTACTGCTCCCAGATATACCCTGTTTCAACATACTGTTTAAAAACATTATTAACAATGTTAGTCCTGAGTTCTTTATAGAGAGCAGCTGCCTTCTCTTGGTACGGCCCCTGTGTGTTGCTGTAGTGATGGAGGGCTCTCACTGCCAAATAGTTGATGTTAATCCATATGGCCCCTCTCCAGTAGGGGGCGTCGTGCTCCGTGTTTCTCATCATGTACAGAGGGTCAGCTTTGGACAGGGAGCGCAGACCATAGGGAGTCCAAAGCTTATTGGGGTCCCTCATGTCTTGGAAGATCTGCTCCAGTTTGGGTGAGTCAGGCTGGAGGATGTGCAGGAGGAAGGGGAACAGGCTCACATACCCCAGAGCATTAACAAACTGGAGTTTTGGGGCTTTTCTCACGTATCTCACAAGTCTAGCTACAGGGAACTGATGCCGTGGCTGTCCGGGAGGCACATACACTTTCTCCTGCTGTAGTGAGACTGCCTGTGTGTGGTTGCCATAGTCACTGTACGCTCTCAACTGTTCTGACCAATGCAATTCATCCAGCAGGTTGTTATCACTGAGAATGTTGTGAGTGAGTTCATATTCTTCATGAGGCTCACCCAAAAGACGAGCTACACTGGCCATGATTCCCGAAGACATCGCCATCCAGCAGTGCAAATCCACGTGGCGTTCATCCGCAGAAGGGTGAGATGCGCGGGGGTAATCGTCTAACCCTGACGTGAGAGTTTTAGGATTGAGGAACAGATTCGTGTCTTTGTCGCGGCCTCTCCAACGGTACGAGTTTGCCTTGGGGCCTGTCTGAGTGGTGTTGTACCAGTCAAACCAAGTCTTCAATTTGGGGAAAAGACGCTGAAGAAATGTTAGCGTTTTCTCATCTGGACTTGAAGATAACTGTCCAATGAGATCTTGAAGAGTTAAAAACAAAGTTGGAGGATTGGCGTTTTCGTTGCGTTGAACTATGAACTCCCCGGGGACTTTGCTGCGTGCCTCATCGCCCAGAATCTGCTCACGAGGAATCCAGCCTTCAATGTTAATGAGGTCTATCCAGTGTGCGATGGCCTCTCTCGTAACCTGTGGGTCCCATTTACTCAGGAGGAGTTGGTGGAACCCCTCATCCCAGAGAAACCCACGAGGAAAGAAGGAGCGGGAGGGCACGGCGGTGTAGAGGGCACCTTCAGGGTACAAGAGCGGGTATTCGTTGTACACAGACTGCACTACTGATTGTCCATAGAAGTAGCCCATTCCACCTAACATGTTGCTGAGCGCAGCTTGGGCGAATTTAATATTTGCTTGATTAAACCCTTTGCTTTCAAGACCAAAAGTATTTTCAAATTTTGTGTTAAACTCTGCCTTTCGTCTCTCCAACTCCTGGGTCAAAACTGAGCCCACGAGTTGATTAGGGCGATTGGAAAAGCTGCCGGATTCAAACAAAACTTCGACCTGGAAGGGTGTCTGGACAGTGACTTGGTGAACCACAAAGTCACTCTCCTTCCTGGGGTCCTGCGGTTTCTGCTGGTTGGGGTGATGCGGGGGTCTATAAACGTCAACACCGATGTAATGCCTTTTGTCTCCAGAGGACGGGCTGTAGACAAACCTGCGATTCAGACTGTGCTTCACAATGTCAGTCAGTTTCTCCAAACCCGGGGTGACAGTCTTCAGATAGTTGTAGCTGAAAAATAAGAGAGTTTTATAACCTTTTAACCACATTTTTACTGCATTCCCTCATCAATATCTTACCCAGAGTTGTATTTTGATTGATTCCTGTACGTTTGAGTAATCCTATATTGTCCTGCATTTGAGGCTTGAGTGTAGGTATGCCACAATAATAAAAGTTTGAAGTACGATAAATTGCTAAAGTAAATAAAGACGATAAACAATAATATTGAAGCTAATTGACGTCACTAACACAATAATACAGAGTAGATTTAAACCACAAAACTATTCTAAATCACCAAATTGATTAAACATAATAATACAATAAATAGATAAATAAACAGCAGAATAAAAGCCTTTTGTACTTAGTTTGTATAATGAGTCATAGAAGTTATTAAAATCAACCTTCTATGGCTCAAATCTATTCATATAGCCAAAAATAACCACTAATTTCCCAGAAGTGCAAAGAAAAAGTACACACAATAAATACTGACTCCAAAAATATCTTGCTCTAGTTTTCATATATTGAACGAAACAATAAGTCGATATAGTATTTATTGTGACAGGTCTACTTGAGTGCTCAGAAAATGTTCAACTACCCCCATCTCCGCCTACTGCTCTGTATTTGATTATTACAAAAAATCTGTCAAAACATGTAGGGATCTAGTTCTGTACTTTTCAGAGCAATTGTTTCTATTACTGAGCTGTTTTAGATCAATATTTACAATTACACTTTACAATGAACAAAATGTACTATAATAACTTATGAATGTTATAGTTTAAAGGTGCATTGTCTAACTTTTCTGCTGGAGGGTCCGTCAAATGCTTGTCTCCATGGAGATGCTATTGCTTTTTCTGGAATGTTTCATAGTATGGTATTAAACCTTTCTATCTTCACGAAGACCGAACCAGACCAAGTTACAGGTCAGATCTGTGGTGAGGTGACCTCGCTCACAGTCAGAATCCCTGTTTTTCTATGTATGTTTGAGCTAAAAAACTACATGTAATTGAATAAATGTAAAGTAGAGCTGTTTAATGTCATACTGTGGGACATTCCAGGCAAAGCAATGACATGTCCACAGAAACAAGCAGGTGAAAAGTTACATAGTGCACCTTTAATAAAAAATAAATAAAATAAAACATGATACTGTATGTCTTCTTTAAGTATTCCAACTTTAACCATAAAAAGGACATCACCAAATTATGACTCAAACAGACCAGGTATTAATTACTGTTATATTGTCCCAGGCCTCCATACTCTTTTTCTAGGCTGATTTTAACTTGCTGGGTGGATAATAGCTTGAAGCTGGTGGCAAAAACAGTTTTGGGTAAACTATTTTTAAATCTGTGTGGTCAGCTGCATATTAATGAGTGGGAAGTGATGATTTGTAGACCCAGTGCTGCCATCTTGTGGACAAGTCTTTACCAGGCATTACTGTTTGCACATAGTTGAGCAGTCAAGCACAAAGTGATTAATTCAAACGCCTATTAAATTTTGAATTTGTTTTTAATAATGATAATAATAGGACTGATTGACTGAACTCCTGTCTGTTTGAAACTAAAACAGGTCCTTAAGTTCAAACAGTCAACCAACCATCTACTGGAAGTCCCCAGAGTCAGGCTCAAACACTGGTGACTCTGGAACAAACTGTCCTGATATGTGCACTAGGGGTGTGCAACAATTTTGAAACATCAATATTTCGTATTGTTTAATGTGCTAATACAATATCAACATCGTGGGCTGCTGTATCAATATATCACCAGGAGTATTTTTTGGTATATTTTCCTAAATTATTTTGTTACAGCACTACAGTTTTGTTGCTTATTCAGAGGAAGGAAACTCGTTTATGCGACACATTTGGCATTTTCACAATTTTGATGACTAAAATGTGTGCGTTTCATATGAACTTTGCGCAAGAAGTGGCAAAAATGTTTAGTATCACAGCCATGATTTAGCCATAATTTTTATTGAACTGAATTGATTTGAAATATATAGTATAAAATCAAAAGCTTACTGTATCGAGATATGTATCGTATCATGACCTATGTGTCAATGTACTATCACAGACTTTGTCCTGTATAAATCTAGGCTCAAGACGTCTGACTGGCTTTCAACACTTAGTATTGCAGTAACAGAACTCCGCACCATTTGTTTTTACTTTACAGTTTAATATTTTTCATGTACATTGTGCCGAGTTTATTGGAAAGCACTTTGGTCACACTGAGGCTCTACAAATAAAAACTGATTGACTTTGTTCGTTTTTTAGTTATTGGATAGACATATATGGTTTTGTTTGAGAAAGCATGGTCATTTACCTGGCATATTTAGCACTGGACTGTTCCCCGGTCACAGGCTTTCTGAAGGAGATCTTGAAGTTTCCTAGCTCCTCTGAAGAGCCAGTGATAGAGGCCAGGCGCGTTTTCTCCTCCACGTGAGCCTCCAGAGACCCCTGTGTGTCTGCTGCAGCGTAGAACATCAGGGAGAGGACGGGTGCGTGGGGAGACGAGCTCTGATGGAAAATATAATGTGTCATAGAGAAAGAAAAGAGTTTATAGATACAGAACTGAGAAAACAAACAAGTCATCAAAAATATACCTGGAGTTTTGTTTTGTTTCATTCACACATGTTTAACACACAAACCCTGCATATTTAGGCTGAGCTCTAAGTCTCAAACAGAAAACACTTCCACTTGTGACGTCATGTGGTAATACAGGAAGGGCTCCACTGGGTTTTTAAACTCCATACAGCTTCTCTAGAATCATTTGGATGATTTCAGCCCTGGTACTGCCAATCACTAATGAACTAAAGTTAAAAGTTAGCTGTTAACTTGCCACTACATGATGTAACAAGCTGGAACAAAGCATTTTGAACTTAGGAAATGTAGACAAACGTGTGAATGAAACAAAACACAACTCTGGGTACGTTTTAGAACAACATTCTAACATGGCCCAAGGCTCATATGAATCCATTTTGTGTAATAAAATATTATAAAATATACCAATAAAGACAACCAATTTAAATTTAGATAATGAATTTAAGTGTGGATCAAAATTTGAGTTTAAGCATTTTTCATTCTTCATTTTTGTGCAGCAGAGTATATGACAAAGCCTGGCCTCACATGCTGTTTGGCTGTGATCCTCCAGGTCCAGTCTCCTCCATGGTCTCCTCCCAGTCTCTTGACAAACTCTGTGGTCAGTGTAAAATCATTATCTCGGATTTCCTGGACGCCGAAGTTCTTCCCATCATGCATCAGCCAGCCGTAGCTCTGAAGACGATCTCCCTGTTCACACGTGTGCCTCAGGTTTATGTCAAAGTCCGTGAACTGCCGCATCCACATCATGCCTGAAGAAAGCACAATTAAAACATATTAATGATTTAGTATTAAAAAATACCGTTTAGTGCTTAAAACCTATACTAACAATAAAAACTAACTAACAATAAAAACTTAATTAGTAAGAAGCAGGAGTATGTCCTTAAGTAAAGGCCACATATGACACTTTCTAACCTCTGATATAATGTTGTTTCCTCATCACAAACAGACCGGGCGTTGCGTTTTGTTTCATCCACACATGTTTAACACGCAAACGCTGCACATCAGAAACAAAACTTAACTCTAGGTACAGTATGTTTTTGAGGAGGAAACATTATAACATGGCTTAAAACTCACAAGATAACATTTTATGTAATATAGGACCTTTAAAATATTGAGTATATGATGTAATGTGATTTCTTTCTATTTTCCCTCCAGTGTGTCCCCAGTGCATCAGATTTATATTTCAATTAGTCTGTTTAAAAAGACAGAAGTTCTACAGCTTTATGTTTACACAAACATGTAGCAAATTATTTTTCATCTCTCATAAATAGAGTTTGTTATTCTTTTTACAAAAGTGAAAAGTTAAAAGTCTCTGTGCACAACAGTACCTGGGAAAAACTCAGTGCTAGAGTGTTACTTCCTGTCTAATATTATCACTTTGTGGTTTTTGCTGAATCGTGCTAAAAAGACCAAATACTTAAAGATAAGGCAGTGAACAGAGAGCTGCGGGTTGATGTTACTGACAACACGTTAAAAAGCACACAAATAAAATGACTCAGCAGAACAGAGGACACTTTTGTGTTTAGAAAGAGAGATGTTTGTACCTCAATGCTAATGCTAATTTTAAGTCACAATAAATATTACAACAATGCCACAAACTGAAGTATTATAAATGTAAAAATAATTAAGTTGTCTTTATTTTTATTCTGCATACATCTCAGGTTTAGGAGTTACCATGGTGACAGAAAAGACTGATCAATATGAGGATTCATGGTTTCAACAAGAAGGTGAAACTGTAATGCTAGTTTGCTTGTGACTGTAATATGTGTGAGAGAGCACAGATCAGCTAGGTCAGTCTTTAATGGTCCGATTATGTTAAAATAAAGCACAGATTATCAGACAGAGCAGTGCCTACTGTTAGAATCACAGCCCCAGGGTTGGTAACATCTAGGGCTGGGTATCATTCTGAAGTAGCCGATACGATACATACCTCGATACAAAGGCCACAATACGATATCTATATGGATACAGTGAGCTTTGAATTTGATACAATATATTTGAAACCAATTCGATAAGGTTCAATAAACAATAATGGCTAAATTAATGCTGCTCAATTATGAAAAAAAATCATTATCTCGATTATTTTGATCAATATTGAAATCACAATTATTCAAACAATTATTTTTTAGATACACAATGCATTTATTCAGCATTTCTCTCTCTCTTTCAGAAAAAAAACAACAACAAAAAAACACTTTGTTATTGATAATTTACGCAAAACTTCCAAATTGAAAATAAATATAGGCTACAAATATGTTCCGTAGAGCAGTTTTGAAATATATAAAACATCAAATAAATAAAATATATTTATATCCAGCTATTCTACAATCTATATTTAAAAAATATGATAAATATACTTATTTATATAAAAAATATCCCAAAATAAACTTTGTTAAGCTTTCATTCCAAATCGATTATACGAGTTTGGAGATCATTTGACACACAAATCAAAATCGCAATCAAAATTCAATTAATGGCACAGCTTTAGGCTAAGTCATGACTGTGATACTAAACGTCTTTGTTAAACCACGTCTTGTGGAAAGTTAATATGAAACATGCCCATTTTAATCATCAAAACAGTGAAAATGTCAAATGTGTCACATAAACAAGTTTCCTTTTATGAAACAAGTAACAAAACTTTAGAGCTGTACCAAAATCATTTAGTAAAATACACCAAAAAATACTCTTGGTGATATATCGATACTGTATCATAATTTTTAACAATATGATAAATCGATATTTCAATATTTTTGCACATCCCTAAAGGTATCAACTGCAAAGTATCAAATGGCTCAAAAAATCCATATGAACCCATCCCGAGATTTGATTATAATCAAGACTGTAGTGAGTTTAAACCGAACTGTAGCTTTTGCTTCATTGACTCACCAGTAACTACAGATCTGGGACTCCGGGTTTTCATTCCAAAGTACACCTGAGGCCTGTAGGAGCCCCAGAACCGCTCAGGTGAAACCTTGGCACTGCTGCTGTTGGCATCCAGGACGGGGGGAGCTGGATGTAGAGTCACCACCCTTTTGGCGAGACTCGACCGCATGTATAAGGCATAGAAGAACCAGATGAGGCTGAATATACAAAGGCCAATGGAGATGTTGATGAAGACTTTCCCGATATCAACTTTCTTTTTCTTTTCTTTGCGATGAAATGCAGAAGGCTTGTCATCTTTCCTGGGAGGTGGGGGCGCTTCACCTGTCACCACCCTCTTCCTCTGCCTTCCCATCCTGCCCGGCCAAAGCTGCAAACACAAAGTACATGAGGAGAAGTTCAACAGCTGACCTTTTCTATTGTTTATAAATTAGAAATAACAAGCGTGGGCAGTAACTGAACACATATACAGTCATTGTGAGTAACTGTTCTCCGGTAAAGTCTTTTATTTGGTGGTATTCAGAATTTACTTTCCTAAAATGGCATACACGGCGGTACTTGATCACACACTTTAAGCTTCAACTGCCCAAAATACTGAGAAACACACACAAAAACGCTGTGAACGCATGTGTGATTTCAATGATAGTGAAGTCAGTGACAGGAAATGCATAACAAACGGTGAAAGAAACATTAAGATGCTTTTAATCCTATGCTGGATTTTTACTTATTTACTAATTTAAAGTATTGCAAGCATTCAGAAAAGAATAATCTGACTGGACCATGTATCAAAATATATTTCTGTGCAGGTATTCAGTAGTCTGTAACTAAATAAATACATTTTCAAAGTTTTCTTCCCATCTCTGGTAATAATTAACTACTACTGGGAAGTGAATGCACAATAAAACAGTTCAATCATGGCAGTCTGTTATTCTGTGAAATCCAAATGTACACATCATAGTCATCAAAATGAGACCATCCATATTAAGTGTGACAGTTTTGTTTTTTCTTTGTTTTTTTTATTGTAGTTCACATGAAAATAAAATAAATGCATAAAAAACACAATAGTGAATAAAAAATATACTCACATACTGTATAAAATGCATGATTTCAAAGCTCTAATTTAAACAAATAAATTAAAATCATTCAAAAAGGACATAAGAAAACCAGCCTCTTTTCTCTCAATTAGGCCCAATGAGCTAGAAAAAACTTTCAGGTCATTCTTTAGATTAAACCAAACATAATGCATCAAAAAAAACAAAAAAAAAAAAACATTTGTGAACACATTTTTTACCTAAAATCAATAAATTGTTAATACCAAATTACATTCTTTTATAATCTATTAATACACCAAATTGTATTTGTTTTCTTTATGGTTAGAGGGGCAAACTGAATTCCCCTGGACTGAAGCCAAGACTGAAAATCAAACCAAAATTGTTGACACAAACTCACATATAAAGAAAAGATGTTCCAAATCCTCCTCCCCTGTGTCACTAAACACATATTCATGTCTCAAATTAGAATTTTTGTTTAAGGAATTCATTGACTGGATAAATTTTAGACTTTCACAAGGGAACTCATTTGGACACAGTGGCTCACACGTCACAATATAATAACAAAGAGTTAAAAAATATAAATGGTAATAATGAAAATCTAAATAAGTAGCAAAAAAGAGCAAGAGATGGGTGTCAGATAAGGCATAATTATATAAATGTTGATGTGTAAGTCAAAATAAAATATAAAATCTCAGCTTTATACAATAAGTCATAGGAATACAGAATTTTAAATTGTAGAAATTTTAAGACAGAAATTTAAATTGCATCTCTTCACTTTAAGGGGAGATACAATAAGCGTGACAGGTGCATCATGTTCTTAACAGGGTAAGGGCAGGACTATAACAAATAAAATAAATGTAATAAAAAAATAAAAATAATAAAATAATAAAAGTTTTTATTCTAGATCCATGGGTGAACACAACAAAAGCAAAAAAATAAATAAAATAAAAAATAAAAAAGCATTGTGGGCCTTCTGTAATAATCACGTCATTGGTTTCCTGATTACCTCCTGCAGTAAAGAAATGAGGTCCACACTGCTAAGAAAATGACACAAAATCACACAAATACTGAAAAAAAGACTCTTCCACTGAGTCTACAATATAAGAATATATAAATACGTGTAAATCAGCAAACACAACTATTGATACTAGAATATTTCGGTGAATGAATGAAGTGCTACACGCTGGACGCTATTGACAGGAAGCCTGGAAACAATGCACGATCGCGAGGTAAATATTGTATATGCAGAGGTAATGTTGTAGGAATTAAACGCAGAAGGAGAGCTCGAAATGCTTATGTTGAGAAGTGTCATGTTCATTGAGTATTTTGTTTCGTACCTGTCAAACCACCGCCGCTTCAGCTGCTCATTCCCTCATTCCTCCCGCTAGCGCAGTAGCCACTTCCTGATTGAGCGCTACTCACTTCCGCTGACGTGTACTACGCACCCCGACGCAAAAAGGCTTTTACTTATTTATTTAATTTATTTATTTATTTATTTTTACACAAAATAGGCAAATAGGTGTTTGGAATAAAGAATAAAGGTGTAGGAAAAAAGTATAAAGGTATAGAATAGAGTATAAAGATGTAGAAGAAAGTATAAATGTGTAGAATAAAGTATAAAGGTGCAGAATAAAGTGTAAAGGTGCAGAATAAAATATAAAGGTGTAGAATATAGTATAAATGTGCAGAATAAAATATAAAGGTGTGAAATAAAGTATAATATTTGAAGAATAAAGTATAAAGGTGTAAAATAAAGTATAAAAGTGTATAAAATAAAGTATAAAAGTGTGTAGAAAAATTATAAAGTTGTGTAGAAAAAAGTATAAAAGTGTAGAATAAAGCGTAATAGGTGTGTAAAATAAAGTACAAAGGTGCAGAATAAAGTATAAAGGTGTAAAATGAACTATAAAGGTGTATAAAATAAAGTATAATAGGTGTAGAATAAAGTATAAAGGTACAGAAAAAGCATAAAAGAGTAAAATAAAACATAAAGATGTGTAGAATAAAGTATAAAGGTGTAAAATAAAGTATAATAGTTGTAGAATAAAGTATAAAGGTGCAGAATAAAGTATAAAGGTGTAAAATAAAGTATAATAGTTGTAGAATAAAGTATAAAGGTGTAAAATAAAGTATAATAGTTGTAGAATAAAGTATAAAGGTGCAGAATAAAGTATAAAGGTGTAGAATAAAGAATAAAGGTGCAGAATAAAGTATAAAGGTGTAGAATAAAGTGTAAAGATGCATAATAAAGTATAAAGGTGCAAAATAAAGTATAAAGGTGTATAAAATAAAGTATAAAAATGTATAGAAAAATGATAAAGTTGTGTAGAAAAAAGTATAAAAGTGTAGAATAAAAGGTAATAGGTGTGTAAAATAAAGTATAAAGGTGCAGAATAAAGTATAAAGGTGTAAAATAAAGTATAATAGGTGCAGAATAAAGTATAAAGGTGTAAAATAAAGTATAAAAGTGTGTAGAAAAATTATAAAGTTGTGTAGAATAAAGTATAGGGGTGTAAAATAAAGTATAAAGGTGTAGAAGAAAGTATAATAGGTAAAGAATAAAAGAGTCTAGAATAAACTATAAAGGTATAGAAAAAAGTATAAAGTGCAGAATAAAATATACAGGTGTAAAATAAAGTATAATAGGTGAGTATTATACTTTATTCTATAAAGGTGTAGAATAAAGTATAAAGGTGTATAAAAATGATGATGTTGTCTTGTTGGCTCCATCGAACCAGGACCTGCAATGTGCACTGGAGCGGTTTACAGCCGAGTGTGAAGCTGATGGGATGAAGATCAGCTCTTCCAAGTCCGAAGCCATGGTTCTCAACCTGAAAAAGGTGGCTTGCCCTCTCCGGGTGGGTGAAGAGTCTTTGCCTCAAGTGAAGGAGTTCAAGTATCTCGGGGTCTTGTTCACAAGTGAGGGAAGGACGGAACTTGAGATTGACAGGCGGATCGGTGCAGTGTCTGCAGTGATGCGGTCGCTGTATCGGACCGTTGTGGTGAAGAGGGAGCTGAGTTGAAAGGCGAAGCTCTCGATTTACCGGTCAGTCTTCGTTCCTACTCTCACCTATGGTCATGAGCTCTGGGTAATGACCGAAAGGACAAAATTGCGGATACAAGCGCTCGAAATGAGTTTCCTTTGCAGGGAGGCTGGGCGCTCCCTTACAGATAGGATGAGGAGCTCAGTCACAAAGGGAGGAGCTCGGAGTAGAGCCACTGCTCATCCACGTCGAGAGGAGCCAGCTGAGGTGGCTCAGGTATCTCGTCTGGATGCCCCCTGGACGCCTCCGTCGGGAGGTGTTCCGGGCATGTCCCACCGGGAGGAGATCCTGGGGAAGACCCAGGACACACTGGAGGGACTATGTCTCTCGGCTTGCCTGGGAACGCCTCGGGGTGGAGGTGGAGGACATGTCTGGGGTGAAGTAAGTCTGGGAGTCCCTGCTTAGACTGCTGCCCCCGCTACCCGGCCCCGGATAAGCAGAAGAAAATGGATGGATGGTGTATAAAAATTTATAAAAGTGTAAAATAAAGTATAAAGGTGTAGAAGAAAGTATAAATGTGTAAAATAAGGTATAAAGGTGTGTGGAACAAAGTATAAAGAGTGTGCAGAATAAACTATAAATGTGTATAGAAAAGTATAAAGTTGTAAAATTTGACACATAGGCGGCACAGCAGAGGGGGTAAACATTTATTGAACTTTATAAAAAGATATTTGAGTTGGCAGTGTTTTCCGCAGAGCTTTCTTCTCAGTAAATGAATAGGCCAGTAGAATCTAAATAAAACCTGTTGCATGCATTAATCTATAGGTCCTTTTTATTTCTTTCCTTTAGTTATTGCTTTCCAACCTTTTATATGCATGATAAATGAGTGTACATGGGCTAAGTTATGACTGATGCTATTACTACAAATACAACACACATTATGCAGATCTCACAGAGAGGGTACAAGTTGGAAAAAATGTCATTACTTTTGAGTCAAAGATCTTCCATTAAAAGGAACTGTGTGTAGTCTGCACTCTTAAGGTACTACATTCAGTTGAACAAGCAGGTTGCCCGTGCCTTTTTGTCCTCAGGCAGTTTTGAGTCCTTAAAGATTTAAATGAAATGGATAATCGTTTTGACAACCAAAATACCAAATTTTATCATAAACTTCGCAGTCATGTCCACTGTTTCCGTAATTGTCATCAGTAAAAACTATATTTGATTTGAAAATGTCTACCTCATAAACATGACCTGTGTCTGCAGTTATTAAAAAATAAAAAAAAATTGTACATACAGTTCCTTTAAGTGACTGCAATTTGCCCAGACATACCTCTTTATTTGTGTCATTTTATAGCAACCTCTGTGATGCACGCCTGTTGTAGTGGGCACATTTTTTGTTTGTTGGGCTGCACGATTTTGCAATTTGAGTTGAAGCAATTCTAAAATCACAATATCTAAATAATTGCATCTTATGTCTTCTGCAAAGAAATGATTTTTTTTTTTTTTTTTTTATCAAACTTCTACAAACATAAAATACATTGTATTCTTGTATTTGTTTATAAGTTTGTTCAAGTTTCAGTCTTCTTTCAAATGTTAATGGTGTTTACAATGTGAAGTCTGAACAGAATCTTCCTTTTTAAACATATCGTGAAATCGTGAAGCCTCATTTGTGCATGATGACAATGTTCAGTTTAACAGCTCTAATCTATGAATAAATGATTCAAATATATTATATGCATATTATTCTCTGATGTATGCCATTATGTAAGAGTTTCAGGTAATAATCATGGCAGAATACTGTGACGCAGCATTAGCGTTTTTTAATAAGCAATACCCATATTTTTTTTATTCAATTTTCAAAATATATTTGCCCATATACAAGTGCCAATTTAACAACCAAACAGTGACCATATACTCGCCCGACTGCAAAGGTAAAGAAAGAAAACAAAAGCGCATGAGCAAAAGAACACCACTGAGATTGGAAAAACAGTTTGTGTATAAAATAAAACTTTAGAGTGTATTCTAAATAACTTTACAAAATATTCCGCTGTAAGTGCCTCTTCATTAACAACAGTAAACCAGTAAAGCAAAGGAAAAGGATTCTCAACCTTTTATCTGCAACTCAGATGCAAATCCCTCTGGATAAACAAGTACAAAGACTTAGGCAAAGGGGAGTAACTCCCAAATAAAGATTTTTTTTGTTTCTTTTTTTACAAAACCAGTCAAAGACGGTGAATAACAAGAAGTGGACACCCAGCCCACTCTTCAGTCCATGCCCAAGTGGAAATGGGTCAGAGAATGAGTAGACACCCATTGTCCTGCTGCTCCTGTTGCACTTAGGTCTTGATGACGCCTCCGTCGCCCTCACTCACAAACCGCTTACGTCCCCTGGTAGAACACACAGATTTAACTTTGGTTTGAAATAAGCACGTGTGTATATATATATAATGTATAGTTCAGCATTATTTCCACACCTGCAAGGACAGGCGTCTCTCAGGTGTTTGGAGATGATGGACTCCTGGTAGCAGAGGTCCACAAAGCTCTCCATGATAGTGTGGGCATGTGGCACGTCCAGGCTGATCTCAGGGAGCTCATCATAGACTCTTTGGAAGCCCTTTTCAAAACACATTCATAAATGAGTCTGTGCTTTTACTGTAGACTGTATATATAAATAGACATAGCTAATGCACAAGCTGCTGTGTTCCAAATAGGAAGTTCGCATGGGGGCACTTCCGGCTTCTACTGACCCTGGCTCGCATTGACTTACATTGGAATATTGTGACCCCTCTCTCTAGAACTGCTACTGTGAACCTTTGGTCTTAAAATGTTTGTATTAACCCCCTCTACATGATCCTGGTGTTTTTATTTAGCTATTTTGTCAGTAAATAAATTCAAAAAATGTCCATATTAGGAAGACAAAGTAGCAACTCCAAATTTGCTCCTTATACCTGCTAGCCTTGTGAGCTTCATTTGGCTGGAGCTGAACGCTACGGGTGATGTCACACTCACTTAGCCCACTTCTTTACAGTCTATCAGTCTATGGGTTTTACACCAATACTAGAGATCTGTGCATACTTCAAAACAAAGTCATAAAAAAGACATTAGGACGTACCCTGTTCATCTGATCAAGAGTGACCAGGCCAGACTTCCAGAACGACTGTAGCAGTTTAATCATCATCCGGCCGGCATTGTCCCCACTGGCCTCTAGCACCATCACCACAGCCTGAAAAACGTCATTCAAGACATGACTCAGTCGTTGGATTACACGGTGTAAGCACTGCTATGAGCAGGACATCTAGTACAAAGTTTTTTATTTGACATTAATTAAAAATAAGACTACAGAATGATTGTATTTCTTTATCTTATGCCCCTAATCCCACAGTGTTTCCTGGAGCATAAATGATGATTAAACATGTGAGTTGCATCACACTGCCAGACCTCGGGGTAACAGTAAACGTCTGCTCGTTTTCAATTACATATTGAAAGTCATTTTAATGTTTCTGTTTAACACATTTATTAACTGTCTCTGACACAAAGGTGCAACACTTAAATGAACTGCAGTGTGACAAGTTTCTGCTAAAAAAAAAGTGTTTGATGTTTTATACTCAGGACTCCCTTGAAAATGAGATCTCAATGGGGCTTAATGATAAAAAGGAAAATAAAATAATATTCAAGTTCTCTGTAAACCATGAGTAACACATAAAATACTTTGTGTGAGCTCTACTGAGGGAAATTTTGGAGTGAGGAAAATCCTATTGTGCCAATATTTCGACTAATAATGTAAAAGATAACATAATACATACACATACATTTTAGCTAAAATACTGGCTCAGTAGGATTTTGCTTACTCCAAAATGTAAAAAGATACCAAAAAAATAAATTAAAAAAACACAGTTACCGAATGTAAAATGGCTCCTCACCTCATAAACGAGCTCATGGTGGAAGTGGGGCACCTCCAGATCTCGCAGACAGCGCTCAGCCTCCGCCACATCTCCAGATATCAAGTACTCCTTCAGCAGGAGGTTCATCTGAAACACAAATAGAAATATTCTGTTTGGTAGAAGAAACAAATAGATTTTTATTTTAACACAATCTGATCAGAAAGAGCGGACTTGGTTGGAACTACAACAGGTGAGATGATCTGTGCGCTTAAACAAGTCTATGACACACAAAATAATCAGACTCCAGAAAATGTGCTGTTCTTGAGTCTTAAACCTTTTTTTGTCTGTGTTTGTTAATGTGTGCATTGTGTCACCATGGAAACTGCTGAACATTCCACCAACAGAGATGCATGTAGAACACCCCGAGCACGAAGGCATCAGGATCAACGCACAAGAGTCTGCTGACGTTTATGTTAACATTCAGAGTGCAGCAAGGACATCTTCTGAAAAGTGCTGTTACACTAATGTTTCTGACAAAGAGGTTGGTCTATTTTTGTTTTGGTTACATCACACTCTGCAGAACCACACACACATCCACCACTGCTGTAAATATCTCTGGAACAAGACAATTAGTCACTCAGAGCTGCTAGTCACTAGAAATGTAACTCAAAAGCAGTGGTGGAAGAAGTACTCAATTTTATTCAGTAAAAGTACAGATACTGGAACAAAAAAAAAAGTTAAAAAGTAAACGTATCACATTAATACTTACCAGTTTAAAGATGTACTTAAAGAGTAAAAGGTAAAATTATTTCACACAGATTCTGAGATCTAATGAAGCTTAAAATGTAGTGACTTTGATACACACTTGTGCTAAATTCTGTTCAGAAACAATTGCATTTTTTATTTGCTTATTTGTTGTTATATTTGAGTGTGCTCAAATTATTATAAATTTTGAATGCATTAAAAACAAAGCCTTCAGCCTTTTCTGTAGGTCGCAGACAATAAAAAAACTTTTACGTTTCAGTCTAATTAAAAAATGTAGTGGAGCAGAAAGTACAGGTAAATGCTCTCAGATGTAGTAAAGTAAAAGTAAAAAGTATTCACTGTAAAATGCACTTAAGTAAAGTACACATACCTCAAATTTATACTTAGGTATAGCCCTATTTTTACTTTGTTACGTTCCACCACTGCACAAACGGAATGCGTCCTCAACAGCAGAGCGTGGAAACTCAACAGGCTGCACAGTAAGACAAGAGGGCACATGATCTTGATACACTACTGCACAAATGAAGTGGGAGACTGACAAAGACAACAGTAACAGAACAGGCTTTGTGTCAACACTAGTTTCATTTACTCTGTCAAGCAGGGAGACACATTTTGAAGCAGGATGTATTGCTACAGAGATACTCTTTGATAATACTGAAACCACTTTATGCCACTGATACAATAATAATAACGCAAGATAATCAATCATAATCAATATAAACCATTTTTAAACAGACAGTATCATTAAAAGGTCATGAGCTGCGACAAATAAACAGCAGAATGAAGCAATAATTTGTTATTCAACCCTCTACAGCTCAAATTTTATTGCATCACCACAAAAAATACCCAGAATCTCCCCTATCAGAATCTATAAAAAAAAAAAAAAAAAAAGTACACACAATTGAGCCTGAGCTCCAAAATATACATTTCCTGTTTTCAAATATTGATAAATCTACATAGTAATTATCGTAACAGGCCTACAGACACAAGATCGGCCTTACTATAAACTTTTACAATAAAGAGTTAGAGTGATCACAACAAGTGCACAGGCCTGTCACAATAACAATTTTTTAAGATCGAGGTATTGCTTCAGAGAAATATTAATAACGACAGTACTGAAACTACTTTAAGTCACTGACATAAAGCAGGGGAATCCCAGTGAACTAATTTTTAAACACTATCAGTAAAAGGCATGAGCTGCAATCATTAAAAAATACTAAACAGATAATTAGCTATTCTACTCTCTACAGCTCAAATCATGGATTAAATAAAACTGTAAAAATCTATAAAAATCTCCCTACTATTAGCAAAAGAGGCATTAATTTCTGTCAACTGGACAAAAGTTTTTGATTAAAAGCTGCTTGGATGAGCTGTGATTTCACAGCTCATCCAAGCAGGACTAAACCAGGACTAAACCAGGACTAAACCAGGACTAAACCAGGACTAAACCAGGACTAAACCAGGACTAATCTCGGACCAGGATTTAGAGCCTAGGACCATCCCTGAGAGAACCCCAAGCCCGCGCAGCTCTTCGCCGGTCCTTTTGCCTGCAGTCACCAGACGGTCTAGGCAGGTGCAACTCTGGCCTGTCCCGACATTTGGAACCATAACAATGGCATTTCACTGCTGCTGATATCGCTGTGATTTTAGCAAATTTGTATGAAGAAAAACAAAATACCGAACACTTCAATCCAGGTTAAAAATGCATTGTAGCACACGTTACTGACATTTGTACCGAGTAAAATATTACCACTTTTTTCCATGTAATGCCTGATATTACTGCATTTCAGCAAAAAGCAATGCATTACAGTAATTTGTTACTTATATAATGCACTACTCCCAATAGTGCTTATATATGCCAGAAGAGAAGAGCTATCTACACTGAAACTACTCTGAAACTAACCCACCTACCTCCCCACTGTTGCAAAGACAAAGTAAGATAAATATTGAGCCACAAAATATCCTATTCTAGTGTTCATATATTGAACCACAAATTGATATTGTAATCATCATGGCAGGCCCGTATATGCACATGTCACTGTAGAAAACTAACAAAGCTGCTTTTACTGGGCAGACTACATTTTGTCCTTAGCGTGTCTTACACAATAACCCCACACGCCAAGCCTCCACTGAAAAATGTATGCAGGATTATTCACTGAGTACAGACTGTTGCACAATGTATTAATTACTGACGCAATGGTCAACTTAATCCTACCTCTTTAATGAGATGTTTAACGGGTCTTAGGCCACCACCTACTCCCCACACGTTATCCAGACGAACCACCTCCCTCTTCATGGATAGAAGCACCGTCGCCCGGTCTAAAGCCACTCTGCAGACAAAAATCAGTGCAGTTTGGTGGTGTTCTTCATCCCACAGATACAGTTACATTTGCAGCACAGTACAGATTATTACTATTGTGAGGGAGACCAGCAGGTTACGGCACTAAGTTACATTACAATTCAGATCTGTGGAGAGTTATCCCTACTGAAAGACGGAGTTTTTGTATTTTTGAGCAATAGAAACACATACTGAAGAAATACTAGATGTATATTTAATGTCATAACATAGAGCATTTCAGTCAAAACATTAGTATCTCCATGGACACAAGCAGGTGATGAACCCTCCACCTTTAACATTGTGTATAGATAATATGATTAATGACTAGGGATGTAACAATATCCAAATTTCTCAGTACAATATTTTCAGAATATGCATCTCACGGTATGATATTTATTGCGATATATTGTAAAGGTTAACAAAATCATGAATATACTACTTTTTCTTTTTTTAAATGCCTTGGCAAACCTTTGATTCAGTGATAAACCGAAGAATTAAGACTGGAAAGTGCTTAATAACTATAATTATATTATTATATTATATTATTTCATTCATAAATTGGACTGAAACAGAGCAAAGGATCATGGTCTATGTAGTTCCCTCTTTTCTTTTACCTATTGCTGTACCATCACAATGAATTTAATCCAGGACACTTGAGATTCATATACTGTGATGGCCCACGATATTATTGAGAGACTTTTGACGATACGATATGAGATTTCGGTTGTTGTTACATTCCTATTAATGACCTTTGAAGTGACAAACAAAGACCTTACCTGGCATGCTCACAGTCCACTCTGCCTTTGTAACGGTCTAGGAAAGACATGGGCAGCACGTGGTCTGCTATGGCTCTAGCTATGAACTGGCCCAACATCTGGAAAAGAAAAACATCATAATAAAGTGGTGAACCAAAACAGTGTTTGTAGAGTGGATCTTGTGGAATAAAGAAGCCTGATTTTAAACTCCTGTGAGCTTTATACCATGTTATAATGTTGTTACCTCCTCAAAAACATACCTGGAGTTATGTTTTGTTTCATTCACGCATGTTTGAGTAACCCTTTATTATTAGTCTGTCTACATCCCCAAACCTGAAAATACTCTGTTCGACCCTGGGATCATCCAAATGATTCCAGTGAAGGTGTATGGAGTTTAAAAAGCAGCACAACGTAGAACAGAGAGAACGCACCCTAAATATGCACAGAGTGTGTTAAACATGTGAAAGAAACAAAACACAACTGCAGGTATGTTTTGACAAGAAAACATTATAACTTGGTTCAGAAAAGAGTCCAATATGTGTGTTTATGTTTATGTCTGGTTTACCTGTGGAGCCTCTGGAGTGTCCAGGATGAGGTCTGGCAACTCTTTGAGCATTTTATCAAAGGCCTGGGCCATTTCACTTTGGGACATCATCTTGTTGGACAGGTCCGAGAGCAGACGTGAGGTGAGCTCTCTGTGGCTGGCTTTGCCTTCCAGAGACAGAGACACAGCCAAAGAAGAGAACTCATATTTGTGAGGACCTAGGTTCAGTTCCTTCAGCAACAACTGCAACAGCAACACAACAACAGTTACATATATATTTACATTTACATTATATATAGTTTACATTAAAGAGGGGGTATTTTACTTCTATGGGGTATAACTGTTAACACGTAACATATTTAGATTATGTTTTATAAGTTACATTTACGTTTTTGAGTCTCTTCATCCTCCCCATGTTAAGTCACTCCCCATTCAGAGCATTATCTAATGCATCCCGCTAATAAAACGACAGCACATCACATCATGTTTGTCAAGTTACTGTGTGCAATTTTGTATCATGTTTTTGTATATTTACGTAGAATTATCATATGGGAGCATGGGTGACGTAGGCTTCTGGGCGAAGCATTGCACAGAATCTTACATCTAACCATACGGGGAGTTCAAAGAGGAGGAGAGATCACTAAAATACTCAAACATGGATGACATCTAAAACCTGCACGTTTCGGATGGGGGAATATTATAACATGGTAGAAGCAATTTCACATAATAACCCCTCTTTTGTGTCATTACACTTCAGTGCTTACCTCGACCTCTTTGGTGTCTCCATGTTCAAAGTACTCTTGTACAATTGGGTTAACCATTTTTTCCAGTTCCTTCTCGTCTATTACTGGAACGACTGTGGCATAGACTGTGTCACCCTTTGGAAAAGCATAAACACAAATGTGAAAAACAGATCAAAACAACCATGAACAGGATTTTAAAATAATAATTGTCTCATTTTAAAATATCCTTTGGTCTATTGTTTCAAATATCTGACCCGGGCAATCTCTCAACATAGGAAATACACTGGCAAGAGAAAGCACTACAAGCCAATAAGGCACTGAAGCTCAATTTCCTGGTCTGTCCTTCAATAAAATGATTGTTTACTTAAAGAGGAAAGGGAAAAAAAAGAATAGAGACATTCTGCAAAGAATCGTGGCTGGGAAGTGAACTCATGAGTCGGCACAAAGGCAACAGCCACATGTCCAATGCCTTAAACCACCAACACCACCAGCAAGCAGTAGAAAGCAATATTTATGTTTATGTTGTATACATTTTATTAAAAGCACAATATTTTAACTGAGTGACCTGAAAATAAATACAACTGCATAGTCGTTGCAGAGGATACCATTTTATTTACACATTACAACTCTGTTCTTCTAATGCACCGTGTGACCCTGTCTTCTAATCCAATCTAGTCTAATTCTCTGTGCCACTTCCTGGTTTTCTGCCCAGTCCAAATCCTGCTCTTCCCTTTGTTAACATTCACTCTGTAGGAGTGGACTGAGTGGTGCAGACATGGCCTTCACACAGTTTGATAGCAGCTGCAAAGATAGAGAAAGTTGCTGACTGTGCTGGGATTCGGCCATCTGTGTGAAGGCATCAGGTGTTTCTTGTGCTGAAGGACAATCATTTTCTTGTTTCAAGCTTTTTCTGCAGACTTGTTCTGGCCACAGTCGCTCCACATCAGCACATTTGTGTGAAAAAATAAAAGCCCTGCTTAGAACTCTGGCCTCTCTCCTCTCCGGACAAAAAGCTGCAGCCCACAACAGGCCACAACAGGCCACAACAGACCACCGCAGCCCACAATAGGCCAGACCAGCGTCGACCGACCTCTGTCACTGTGAGAGCAGAGCATTAATAACAAAGTCTCTGCTCGTCCTCTGCATGGGCAGTTTTATGGAATTCCATCATTCCGCGCTGGAATGTTGTGTCCCAAGATTTTTATGACTATATGACTCAGCTAGAACTGAAAACTAAAAAAAAAAAAAAAAAAAGGCTGGTGTTTTATTTCAATTATGAATTTGTTCCTGTTCATCTAGTTATCCATTTCAGCCAATGCAAGGTCAGTGAGCTTGACAGCCTTGAATATTTCTTTTCCACTCACTCAATAAAGCTCAGGAACATTCACATTACGACCCAGACCTGCTGATGTCTTAAATTGGATTTCTTGTGGGTCCCACATGGGTCTTGCGTTTACTTGTGATTTTGACATAAGGGTAATTGATTGTGTAACTTAAGTCACCTGAGAAGATTCATCGTAGTTGGGGTCCCGTATGTCTGGCTCTTCAACTTCATACACCATCCCTGCTGCGCCCCACACTCCTTTACCCCCTGCTCCACCTGAGGAGACCACAGATGTGTCAGACAGCTACACAGCCTGAAGAATATGGGTATACAAAAGCAGTAGGAATTTTCCCATTTGTCTTTGCCATGATGCACCATGCACAGGTCTCAAGGACTTCATGTGGTTAACCAAATTTTCTGACCTATGTTATAATGTAGTTTCCCCATCACAAACAGACCTGGAGTTGTGTAGCCTTCTGAGATTTGGAGATGTAGATAGACTAGTCATAAAAGGTTATTCTGAGGTTAAAGATTAAAGATTAAATCTCACAAGAGTCAATTCAGCATAATATAAGGCCTTTACTATACAACATAAAATAAGACCATGGCTCTTGATTTAGTGTTTACACTTTCTAGTATCATTTACATGTTAACATATTTCAATCTGTCTATTTTAGGAATAGGGAGATGTATACAGACCTTTCTTTGGCAGTCCCCGACCTTTCCCCATCCTGGATTTGCGGTCATTGGTGGGGACCTTGCCCTTCGGACTATGTGGGTCGACCCCTCCCATCTCGCCAGACTCAGAGATGGAGTCACTAGTGGAGTTTCTGGATGAGGATTTGCGTAGGCGGCGCTTGGCTTTGGCCTTGAGTCTGGCCTCGTGCAGGGCTTTCTCCTGAGGGGTCCAGTTCCCGTTGATCTCGCTCTCGTTCAGGGCATCGTCGTCATCGCTGCCATGACGATTTGCCTCGGACAGCTTCTCGTCGTAAGAGAACACGCCTATCGACAAAAGATTTAGAGTTAGTGATGTAGCCAGTCACAGAATCTACTGGAAGAAAAAAAATTGATTTTTTTTTTGTTTTGTTTACATTCTAAAAACATGTAACATATCTGTGAAACAAAATCATCAAGAAGTTACCTATCAATAGACTGTAAGGATCTTTCTTTCAAAAATCAATCTCTTACCAAGTTCATTAAAGACCTACTATGCTTGTGCTCTATAGTTATATATAGTTATAGTTATAGTTATCTATGACACCCATGTATCATTATGTTTTAATTTTCACATTTTAATATATAATGTTTTGATATATTTAATATTAATCTAAAACAACAAAAAAGAAACAAGTCCGCGGACTTCCACATTACAAAACTGTGACGACAGTCGCCACCTCCTATGTATAGCTATAGATCACATTAGCAAGTAGCAGATTTTTCTTCATCTGCAACAAAATGACTATGCAATGCAGCCTACTTACATAAGATTAAAAAAATAAAATTGGAGAATGAAGTAAGTGTGGGTGTCGTGGGTGTATGCTGGTGGTGGTGAAAACAAGGATTGATTGGCAAAATGGCATATTGAAGATAAGCAATTAAAGATTTTTCAAGCACGCACGAATCACTCCAACAACAACTTGGAGATGGTAAATGAGAAGGGAAAACAACTATAACATGGTTAAAAAGTAGGGCTGGGTATCATTAAGAAGTTGCCGATACGATATATACCTCGATACACAGGCCACGATATGATACATATCTCGATACAGTACACTTTCGATTCAATATGATATATTTCGAATCGATTCGATACGGTTTAATAAAAAATTAAGGCTAAATCATAGCTGTGATACTAAAAGGCTTTGTTAAACCATTTCTTGTGCAAAGTTCATATGAAACACAAACATTTTAATCATCAAAACTGTAAAAATGTCAAATGTGTCGGATAAATGAGCTTTCTTTCACTCCACAAGCAACAAAACTGTAGCACTGTAACAAAATAATTTAGTAAAACACACCTAAAAATACTCTTGGTGATATATTGATACAGTAGCCCACTATATCGATACTGTATCATCACATTAAATGATACGATATATCGATATTCCGATATTTTTGCACACCCCTATTAAAAAGCTTTGAAAAGTCAGTTTTGCATATTAGATCTGCTATAAAAACAAAACAACCGCATCTACAGCCTGTACAAAACATCACATCTCAAGCCTCAAGCATCTGATCACATTGATGGCTGAATTATCTTCCAACAGAACCAATGGGATTTTTTGAGTGTAGGCGGCCATGGGAACAGGGCTGCACAATAAATCACTGTCTAATCAAATTCATTATTTGAGTTGGCACATTTTTCAAAACTCAAATATTTAGATAATAGAATGTCCTCTGCCACGGACAAAATATCCTGTATTTTTATAGTGAGATCCTGTTGTACCTGTAATTAGACCTCTACAAACATGTGTTTCATGAATTGATGCACCAGTTCTTCTCTGAAATGTTAATGCTCCTGGAATTGTTTACAATGTGAACTCTGAACAGAATCCCACTTTTAAAGGTGCACTGTGCAACTTGTCTGGTGGAGGATCTGTCAATTGATCGTCTCCATAGAGATGTGCCTAGAATATTCCACAGTATGGCCATAAACTTAAATATCTGCAAACCAAATTACAGGTTAAATTTGTGGAGAGGCGACCCCACTCACAGTAAGAATGGATATTTTTTATGCAAGACAAATTTGTTTAATATTGTACAGTGGACAATGTAAAGCAAAGCGTTAACATCTGCATGGAAACAAACAGGTTGCAGACCCCCTCTTGAAAAGTTACACATCTTTAAGAGTAGACTATAGTGCATCTACTTGCAATGTGATGTTTTTTTTTTGTTTGTTTGTTTTCCCCCACACTCGTGCAGCCCCATTTGCTAACATCACACTACTACTTTTACCTGCAAATAAAACTAACTGTGCAACCCTGCATGTCAAACCCACCTACATATTTCATGGTCGTGCTTTGAAAATCAGGCCAAAGGTCACAAAACAAGTGAAACACAACACAGGAGACGACAGCACAAAGCCTACACCACAGATGCTTCACGGACACTCACCAGCTTCAGACATTATTAGCAAGTAAACGATCTAGTCACAGAGAATGGTACAGCCTCGTGTTAGGGTCAGAAATAAATATGGCATTTATCAAAAAACGCCAACTGCAGCCTTGTATGAAGTATGAAGTCAAAACACAACAACAACAACAAGAGAGAGAGAGAGAGGTGGAGTTGAGTATCCCTACAGCTACACGAAGCACATGTTCCACACGTACTGACACCATTTTTTAGAGTCTGTCGTCTCGCGATTGGTGTGCCCCTGCTGGACATAACCTGACTACATATGGCCTGGTCAGGGCTGAGTCACATGCCTGTACTGTAAAAGAGAGGGGCCGCCTGAGCAGGAATGTCTCAGTGTGTAATGAATACTTTTGCATTTCCACGCATGGTCTTAAGTATGGCTCCTAACAAACTAAGGCTGCATAGATTACAGGACAAGGGCAAATGCATGCAAATTTATGATAATGATAACACATTTTGACGCACTATACACTGCTATAGAGAAATGCAGCAATATATAATAATATTGAACCTACTTTATGCCACTGACACAATAGCAATAATGCAAGATAATCCCAGCAAAGCCTTTTTAAATAGACTGTATCATTAAATGTCCTGAGCTGCAACAAATAAATAATGATTAAAGAATGAGCCAATAATAGCTACAGAAATTACTTATTCAACCTTCTAGAGCTCAAATCTTAGTGTATTACAACTAAAACATCCAGAATCTCTACACTTTTACAAAGAAATTGTACACATGATATATATCAAGCTCCAAAATATACTGTTCCAACTTTCATACACTGAATTATAAGTCCATATTGTAATTAAAGCAGGTCCATTTCTAAGTGTTTACAACCAAGTGAAAAACTGGAAAAATGTGTGCATCAGTGGGTCAAGATTTATTTCAATAAAGAAAACATTTTAAAATACTTCTAAGCTTCTACCTCTAATAGTGCACTCATATTTTATGTTACACACCCTCCTTCTGTCGCAAAAACCTGTAAACAACTGACCATGTGTCCTCCCCTGTAGCTCCTCCCTCCTCTCAAATGTGGGCCACAGGCTGTGCAAGAGCAGTAAATTAGGAACTAGCCAATGGCAGCGTGCCAAACACACAGTCAGCCAATAGGAAAAAAGTATAAAAGTGAAAAGGTGTGGGCCAAGAGTTGCAAAACAAGCTTCACAATGTGCTGCTTTGCAAAAATACAAAAACTTTCAAGTTCATCCTAGAGGCATTTTTTAATCATTTTGACAGCCTACTTATCAGCAGATTTTACCACTTGCCAACACCAACAGTTACTTCATATAGATTCCCAGAGGTCTAAAGACTGATATAGTGAAACTTACCCTATTTGGTCTATGTATAGCGCTCCATAGAAAGTATCTGTACATAGTAATAGGAAGGAAGCTCATATATGTACCGTATGCAGAATATTTATTTTGAGTATCTGTATTCGGTACAGTTTCCCTTTCATTTGGTCTTCAGAAAACGGTTACTTTTCTAAAATGAATACATGGAGGTCCTTAAGTACACAACTTAGGAGTCAAACTGCACGTAACTAGTGAGAAAAACATAAAACACTGCTCTTGTGGTGAGTAAATGTGTGATTTGAACTTCTCTAATTGGTGATGGGAAATGCATAACAAACGGTGAAGCAAACATTAAGCTGTTTTTGATCCCATGTTGCGTTTTTACACTATAACGTAAATGCAACTCAGTGTAGAAGTATTCCAAGTACTCAGAATGCAGTACTCTGACTGGCTCATGTATCAGAATATGTTCTGAAATACATTTTATAAATACAGGCGTTTAGTATTCTGTAACTAACTACATTTACAAAGTATTCTTCACGTCACTGTCTGTACAAATGCATTAACAACATGTGTTTATTTAGCACAATAACAACTACATATCAGAATAAACAAAAAAGAGTGTGGAAAAATACACTCATGTGTAGATTATCTACGCAAAACAAGTGGGTGTGGATGTAACTGGAGTTAAACTGTCATCTACACAGACTCAGACTACTGCTTTAAACACTGTCTATGTGTGCTTCTATATGTGGGTGCAAACAAATCTGTGAAAACAAGTTCATTAACAATCTGATTAGAGATTTTGTACATCTGAGATAAAGCACAAACCTTATCTGCTAATGCAATTTAAGCAGCACATTGCATCAGACCAGTGGATTGTCCAGTAATCTGAAGCCTATAAACGACACTGTGTGTACAAAAGTCCAGACCATGTGTGGGTTTGGGAAGAAGGCAAAACAGAAGGGTGGAGGCCAAGAGAGAAGTAAAACAAAGTGTGTACTTGTCACTCAGCATGCAACCATATAATACAGCATAATACAATACAATATAACCAGGAGCAGTATTTTTCTAGTATTCAATGTCATAAACTCTATAATTCTTTTTATTTTACACAGATCCCATAAGTCTGTAGGTTTAAAAAAGCCTGTCAGGATAACACATTTTGAAACACAATATACTGCGCTACAGAGAAATATTGTGATCAATATAGAAACAATTTTATGCCACTGACTTAAAGCAGGATAATCCCAGTAATCTTATTTTTAAATATACCGTATAATTAAAAGGCTACAACAAAAACAGCAGGTCTAAACACACACATTGCCACCGAAATTAGAGCTGCACCATCCTTTAACTAATTGAAAGGTTACCCAAAGTTTTAGTTTTTAGTCGCCTTCAGTGTGTGCACTACTGAACTCTAAGCAGTAAGTTATTATTATTATTGTTATTATTATAAGGCCTTTACAGACTGTTATGAGTCTTAAAAGGTCCTATATTGACTCTTGACGCTTTTAGCCATGTTATAATGTTATTCCCTTATCAGAAATAAACCCAGAGTTGTGTTTTGTTTCATTCACATGTTTGAGTAACTCTTTATTCATATTCTTAGTGTATATCTCCAAAGGTCAAACTGTTCTGTTCCAACATGTCACATCATGTAGTGGTAAATTTCAAGTTTAGTTCAGTAGAGATGGGCAATTCCAGGGCTGAAATTATCGAAATGATACTAATGAAGGTGTATGGAGTGTTAAAACACATTGGGGTACTTCCCATATTACTACATGACATCACAATGTGGAAGAGAGTATTTTCAGTTTTAGACAACAGCCTAAATATGCAGGATTTCTGTGTTAAACATGGGTCAATGAAACAAAACGCAACTCCAGGTATGCTTTTGGTGAGGAAACAATGTTAAAACATATAAAGTATCCTAATAGGGACCCTTTAAAACTATTACTGGTCTCTGTTGTGTTTGGTTACTGACCTACAAGGCATTGAGGTCGTCATACCAGCACATTATAGAGTTTGACAGCAGTTTGTGACCGCCTCATCAACAGTCCTGCTCAATCAGGCGTGGCTCCTTAGGGGTCAAGTTCATGCAAAACAGTGCAGACACAGCACCAGGACACATCACACTATCCTCAATAAAAACGGCATCTGGCTTAGTGCAATCTCCCCGTGTCAGCTGCCAAGATTTAACACTCTTTATTTAACACCCACAACACTGACGGGGCTGTATTGCATATTCTAGTATCGCGTTTCCATATATGAAAACATTTTATATATAGCTAACAATACATTTCTGCAACTTATGTAACATTGAACACATAGAGCCGAGCACACATTACGTAAGGCCTCCCATTGGCTCGGATGCCCTATAGATGTGGACGTCACCATCAACAGAGAGCACGGTGTACCACGAGCGCGCACCAATAAAGTTTGAGCACGTTTAAAAAAAACAGCAAACCGATTAGGAGATAATTACACAATCAATGTCTACAAAAATATTACAAATGAACACATAAATGCAGTAGCGGATTATTTATTAGACACGGCGCTTCCACAGACAAACCAAATTGAAAGCAGCAAAAGCGCACTGACATCGATAAGCGAAGTGCAAATGTTAATAGTGAAATAACGTGTGGATTATATTGCTTCTCAGTGGATTAAGATTTTGTATAGTTTTACATGAAAGCAAACGTATGAGCAACAAATATGAAGCTTGTTTTAGCTGCGCCAATGTGCATACAAAGCGGAAGTGAGCATGGCCCAATCAAAATCGCGAAAGGGTTAAATGAACGCTCAGGCTAAACCGCAAAAATACACTGAGCTTTAAATGAAAAATCATATTATTGCAGCGCAATGCAGTGAGCTGTGAGTGCTGTGGGGTTTGTGTAAATCCTACAAAGTGTGATCTGTGAGCACATGGTGGAGCACAGGCTGGCTGGCAGTGCGCCCATCCCCGTGCAGAGGGACAATGGGGCACGGCGAAAACACCAGCAATCACTGAGCTGTTATTTCCATTTAGACTGAGCTTTAAATAGCCGCTTTTAGCGCAGGGTTTGCAGGGGACTCACCGTCAGCAGCAGGCTGAGCCGTGGACCACGTATCCACTTGAGTCGCCATCGCGCTCTACGAAAATCGCCCAGACAAAATCCTCACGTCGTCTGCTTGAAGCTGCCTGATCCTGCAAAAAAACTCCTTCAATGTAAACGGTATCCAAAAGGTCCCAGAGGCACAGCTAGTAGTAACACGTGGTAAACGATGCTCGAGCCTTTCTGATCCCTTTTTGCACTGCACGGTATTTTTAGTTAAATATACAATTGAACACGATTAGGCAATACAAAAAACAAGTACGCGTGAAAAATGTAAACAAGAATATTGAGCTCTTCTCAGCTGTTTAGCTGGGAAGAGTCAAATAGCTCGGATGCTAAAGGAGGGAAATAAGCTAACTAGTCGCTTAGCATTGCTGCAAACAGCCAGTAAGATAAACAAAGTCTGTTTTTAACTTAGCAAAGAGCGAGCGAGATGAATCACGTGGAGAAAACGCGGACGGGGAGTGGCCAGACGGGAGGGTGGGTGCTGGTCCACATCGACCAATCACAGAGCAGCGGGCCTCCTCTGCGGCGTCTAGAAACTACCACCATCTAGATCCAAGACTAGACCCAGGACTAGACCCAAGACTAGACCCGAGACCATCACCTAGACCCAGATCCATGCCTAGACCGAGCCCACCACTACCACAGCTCAGGAGGTCGTGCTGTGTGCGTGCAGCATAGAGGCTGAGGTGTGGAGAAAAGTGGAGCTCTTCATCTTACACGACAAGACCTCACTGAGAATATGGTAGGAAAACGACTTTATGCAATAATAAATGCACATGTCAGAGTTTGTGCACGGTTTTAAAATGTATGTTTTGGTGTTATGTGGTTCTTCTCTTTTCTATTTTTCAGCCACTAGATGTCAGTCAAAACTCGGGCATGATGCCAGAGCGAGTAGACAAGTAGTAGTGCAATGTTAATTATGTTCATGATGTGTAATGGATGTACAGCATAACATGTCAAAAATGCACTTTATGTCATTAAAAAAACAAAACAGACCAAGGCACAATTGTACTTAGAAGCATTTATTTTAACACAAATCCACAGTTTTGTAGAATCAGATGGCACAGATGTACACTGCCATTTTTTTTAGTAATTTACAACAAAGCAATGCAAACCTCAAATGGATAAAACGTAAAAATATAGGGCCTATAGGAACTGACGATAAGGGATGAACAAAAAGCACAGATCAAGACATGATATCAGGTTATAGGCCTATTTTCTCTAAACACCAATGTACAAAATGATGTAATTTTACATGATTACATTCTAAAAATGTCTAATACCCAAACTTACAATTTAACAAAATCTAACAGTCAACTTTGGCTTCAGTATAATTAACAATGGTCGAATAGCACAACACAGTAACGCTCACACATGCGCACAACACTTCAAAGAGCAGTTGGTAGAAATGCACAAACTTTACCCTTAAAGAACACTACAATCTGTAGTAATAAGAATCAACTATTCCACAGAGAAGTATACAGATACTGCTAATAATGAATCTCGGAGCTGCTGGAGAAAGCTGAGAAACAGTCATTGGATTTCCTGATGTGATTTTGATTGGATTCAGACCAATGCGGGCTCACCATCAATAAACATCGCAACAAATACTGAGAAAATACAATCCAACTAAAAGAAGCCAAAAAAGTCAGTGAAAGTCAAAACTCACGAGGTAACAGTCTTGTATCAGGCCTTGAGCTTATACCGTACTTGATAGCTGCTAATAAGGCAAACTATAATATTCTATTTACATTGAGCTTACTCGTTCTTTGATAATTAGCCCAGTTTTTGTCTCTCATGCACCAGAACATAACAATCTTTAGTTTATGTTGTAGCCAGATTCTCATTTCACCAGTATAATTACTTAATAATATAAAATTGTAAATGTTGGATAATTAAGATTTAAGTTTTAGACTTGATGAATAACATGAAATACAAAACATGAACATTGTTTTGTAACCACAGAGTATGACACTTAAGTAAAGACACTGTTGAGCTGAGTCCAGAGCATGTGAGGCATAAACTTTAGCTACATAAAAAATAAAGTCAAACAAGTTTTCTATTAAAAGAGCATCTTTTTCAATCATCAATATTTTGCAACAATTTATAAAATGTTTATAGCTTTATTCAATATCAAGTGCTTATGCCTATCACACACAGTAAAATGTTTAAAAGAGGTAAATTACTCTTCACAACAGTTGTTTCCTATCAACCAGCATTCACTAGAATAAGGAAAAAGGTGTGAATACTATTGCTAAATACATTTTTTGCAAGTCTCACCTGTACTATATTTTTGGAGACTGCTGAAGCTGCTATGAAGATGGTTGATATTATACAGTTATATACAGACAACATGCTTACATAGCAGCAGCTAATGGTGTAACTAACAGAAACTCCACTTTATAGGCACCATATACCAAAGTAATGACCACACAGGCTAAATGGGCTCTACTTTTGTATAGTCACTGAAAAAGTATAGTGTGGTCCACAAAGCCCTGGTCTAAACACATTTCTGTGCCCCACAGCCTCTTCAAACATGATTCAAACATGATTTGTCTTCAGATAAACAGCAGTTAAAGTCACAGCAGACATGCATTTATAGTTAATGTCTCGCTGGCAATTAACTGATACATATTTCAAATAGCTGCAATCCAATAAATATAATAAATACATTTCCCTCTGAACTAATTGTAACTGCTGTCCATTAATTGAGTCCTAAAGACAGATTTTCTGTGGTCATTAATGTACAAGTTTACTACAGAGTCAACCATAATAAAATGAAATAATTTCTTATGTGGACACAGATTTCAGTCGCACATGCTCAAGTTCATTAATGACCACTTTAGTCCAAGTCCACAGCTGCTGCTTCATTATAGCTCTGGAGACATTTCTCTATGAAAGATTTTTTTTTTTTACTAAATATTTACCATGAATGAGCTGTCATGTTGTGTAATTGTCTACATTCAATAATACAGTTAGACTAATGGACCCTCCACTTTAAAAAAGACACTTCAAAAAGGCCTTTGCTTGCCAAAAACTGCAATACGCCCTGGAGGGCCTGTGAAAACAGTGAAGTCAAACAGTCAGTCAAAAGTATCTAAGTAACAGTCTGAAGTAACAATATACAGTCACAATATCGTGGTAAAGCTTTGCCACCAACACACTGACTAAAGTATGTTTGTACCATTTTAAAGGAGAGACATGGTACAGCCTAAAGCACACAGCTCAAAATACACAACTAGCCAGAATAGTTCTCTGCTTTCTCTAGTCAAAAGAAAAGGGAAATCGCCTCAAAACAAACCCTAGACCTACGCCCTCACAGTTTGCAATTAACCAGTAAGATTTTTAAAACAATGGATCTTCGTCCTACAAAAGCATTTACAAACGAGGTGCCTAAAAGTTCTACATTGTAATCCTACAGCTCCTTACAATCTGCATGTCAGTGGGTTAACAGCATTTCCACCAGAAAGGGATTTTCACTGATGAGAATGTCCATCTATGAATTCCTCAAGAGGTAGAGAACTATCTAGAATCCTTCACAAGAAAAGGCTATGTGAATGTCTCACAAATATATATGCATATCTTTGTATAGCGGATTAAGTTCATATTCTTAACACAATGTAATTAATCTGACACATTTTGGTACCATTAAAACCAATATTTTCTATTACATAAATCAATTCTGCATCACAAAGGATACTAAAAGTTAACGTTTGGGCACTGCAAAAAGACTTCTAGCTGTTTCTTTTGCTCTAGTGACAAATGACACTTGAATTAGGGCTACAAGACATCATTACCACACAAGACTTCATGTGTCAACCAACACCAAAACTAGCTGACAACTTCAACTCGAATGAGGCATGTGATTCTCTTGTTATTTCTTTTACTACAAGAATAATCAAGAGCACCTTTCAGCCTCTGTCCTAACCAAGGACCACAAGACTTATCTTCAGTGAGTCAACTTCACTTACTAGTCTTGATCTATGAGAATGCTATGAATCTAGGCAATCTCACTTTGGGTACTTCGTCTACATCTCTGTTGTTTTGCCTAAGAGGACTCCACTGTAATAATGGCATCGCCGGTTTTCAGGTTGACACTGCAGGTTGGGGACTGTCCACTGCTCCGTTCAGCACAATCTTCTCTGTGTGGTGACTGCGCTCCGGGCTTCGTCTCTTGGTTTTGAGTTGCCGTCTCTTCCTTTCGCTCAGCTCGTTTCACGTGGCAACGGCACACCTCAATCCCAGAGTCCCCGGTCAGCCTCCGATGGCGGAAATGGTCCTCCTCGTCTTCATCGTCTTCAAAGTCTTCGTCTTCTTTTTCGCGTTTCGGTTTTTCCGTGTTGGTTGGAGACACGATGGTGGGTTTGAGCGGGGACACGACAGATCGCGGAGCAGCTCTCGAAGCTTCGTACTGGGATTTTTCTTTCTTAACATTGAGGGAGGCGAGTGGGTCTGGAAAAGCAAGAGGATGGACTTGGCCTGGTGGAAGCGTGGACAGGAGAATGAGAGGAGATAGGGGGTGCCGATGGTGGTGTGAAGGACCAGGGGCATTGAGAGAGTGAAGAGGAAGAGAAAGATGAGGAGCCGACGGGGAGATAGACTCAATGGTGGAGGATGACTGTCTCTGAGCGGGCACCACATCAGATTTGACCCTAGGGATGACATCGGGCATGGCGTGTGCGTGTGCCAGCCCCGGAGTAGTTGGCGATGGCGTGAACATGGACTTGTCTCCTGATTCGCTTGGCGTGGACATGCGGCTGCTGTCATAGGTCTCGTCTGTAACTTGAACGGAGAAAGAAGTGCTGGAGGGGGAGGTGATGGAGCAGGACTCACAGGAGCAGCTGGTGTAGTTTTCGGAGCTTTGGGAGGAAGTGAAGCCGCTCGGGCCGGGACCCAAGTAGGGAGGGCAGGGCGGGCAAGGGTGGCGGTGATAGTGGTGGTGGAGGTAGGAGGAACTGGGGCCGCCCATGGATCCTCCCTGCAGGGCAAAAACAGAGCTGTACGGAGGAGGAGGGGTACTGGGCTGTGCTGCCACCTCCTCGTATGACGGTAACTTGAAGGAAGCCAGAAAACCTACAAACAAGAGAATTCGCGTTAGACATGAGGCCTGTCACGGTAACAAAATTTGAAGTGTGATAGACTGCTGAAGGAAATAAGCAAAATTGTCCCCAAAACTTAGCTACTTTAAAGTGCTTTGATAGGAGGTATCTATAATGAGTCATAGGGTGACCAAATTTTCAAAATCAAAAACTGGGACACCCCCGGTTTGGATTGGTTGGTAATAATAAAATGAGTACGTAATTAAGGAAAATTGTTCTGCACTCAGCCCATTTATGACTAACATGTGAGTCAGAATAGTCACATTTACTTTTGGTTTTGGTAATTTTTAAGCAGCTTCTCTGTATTTTACCTAAAGAACTCACAATTTATGCCTTTCTTTACTGTTGGAAGGGATCAAATTGGTTAAAAATAGGGACACCTTGGGCATTTCTTGTATAAAAATGAGACAAATTATTGGTTTTGGATAAATCTGCTGGGACAAGGACACAGGGCTCAAAACTCAAAACTAGGACTATCCTGGGTAAATAGGCATGTCTGATCACCGTAGTCATAGAAGTTAGTTATTCAACCTTCTTTAGCTTAAATCTTATCATCGTCTGGAAAAATAAGAAAAATTCCTATACTAGTACAAATAAAAATCTCCCCGATAAATATTGACCCTAAAAATTATTGTTCCAGCTAACACTGAATGAAAAGTCAATATAGTAATTATTGTGACAGGTCTAATTAGTAGTAGGTTTGTAGGCCTTTAGTTGACTGGGCAATGGTGACCAAAATATGCATTAGTCATTGTAATCATGTACATTATAAGGATTTTTCTGAGACAAGAGCAAAAAGGGAAGGTTAATTTCTTTTCTATGAATGTGATTTTTCAGTATCAAAACCTGCACAAATGAGTATCTAGTTTCAATAGTAGTTTCAAAACTAGTACTTTTGACACCCTAGTGTAAATTTCAGTCTTAATCCTCATCTGTCTATGAAATTAGACAATGAAAATGTAAATAATGCTGGACATACTGAGGTCGAGCATTGAGGAAGAGTAGTTGCAGGCTCCGTTGTAGGCGATGAGGTTGATCTCCCTCTGTCTCTGCTGCTGCTGGATGCGCATTTTTGCTCGGCGATGACGATAAGCACAGAAACAACTGAACAGGATTAGTACAGTCCACAGCAGCCAGAACCCTGCACCAGATAAACAGGAAATCAACCAATATAAACTCTAATTTAGGGGTGTCATGACCATGGATCTATAGTAAGAATTGTGATTTTATTATAGTTCTGTGGTCATGATATCAAATTTTAGTTTTGAAATTTGGTGTCACAATTATCATGGTAAATAATTGCAATTAACAATTATATCAAAATTATGATCACAGTTTCTGTAAAGAGTAATTATAATTATTCATTGTTATAATATTGTACTTTGTTATCAGGGAAAACAATGATATTCGAGTATTAAGTAGCTTTTTTCTGCACATTCTGGTGATACAATGGTGATTTTGTCTACCCGTTTTATCACGATAAACAATATTATTGTGCATTGTATCAGCCCTAGTTACAATTATTATAAAAACTGTAATGATTGAATGATTATTCATGATTATTGACGCCATGACCAAACAACTGTGAAATTCTTCATGCACTTTCACTCAGATTGTCTAAACAGATCAGCATTCTTAAAACATGTGCCCTGGTTTATGAACTCAAACTTTCTGAATGTTAAGTCAAGTTAATATGAAATAAACAGATAAAGCACTTTACATGAAGGCTAAGTTCTTTGGGGAGTATAGATTTAACAAAAATCACTTATTTTTGCTTCTTGATGATTATTTTTTGGTCCTGACAATTATATTGTGACCTACTGGTATAGGATATCGCTGCCAATCCTGAAAAATCGGCTTCCAAATATCAGTTCAGTTGATCTCCTGGTTGAACACATAAATTGAGTCCCTCCAGAAAGGCTCATAATGTTTGAACTTTTATTTACACAAAGCTATTCTGCAGTTACTTGAGAGATAAATAACAGTTACATAACACATTTGGACCAGTTTTGTCTCATTTTCTTTTAGTTTAAAGGAAATAAATGCTATTTTCAATCTCTAAAGTAACAGTATCAGAATTGGTAGCAGAACTAAAAAAGCTGGATCAGTGGTAATCCTAGACCTGAATAACGATGATTATCGATTAACAATATAATCTCGACATCCCTACTCTAATGATGACAGTCAATACTCATGTGGTGCCTAAAGGGCTCCACAGCAGCAGGCCTCAGCACTGACACAGATCTGAAAAAGTCAGTGGGTCGACTCACACCAGAGCTCATAGTAGTATGTGCAGCAGCCTGTCTCTCCACAGCAGTGGCCCGTTTCACACAGGTACCCCTGTTTGTTATTTAACCCGGGGCAGTACTTGGAGCTGACTGGGACCGGCAGGCTGTTTGAGTCCTCATGCTGCGTCACCACCTGCACATCCAAAACACAAACCATTACAACAGTCATCAACAAACGGGCCTTCTGTTACATCTTAGTCTTATTTATTTATATTTTACTATGATTTATTTACTTTCATTAGCTATATTGTATTATATATATTTTTTGAAATTGCAGTTTTGTCTACCCAGTACTAACTTGAATTTGTATGTGCATTTACTGATTTGTAAATTAACAACAACAATTAACAAAATAGAAAAATAATAATGTGTTTTTAACATGTGACTAATGTATCTATCTTAACAGAATTAGGTAATTCCCAACTATTCTTCCCTATTCACGCTTCTATCCTACCCAAAAAAGCCGGAATAAGTGAGAATATCCCATCTCATTAAGTAAAAAAACAGTGTAATGTAGACCAAAAAACATAGTCTCAGATACTGGTAAAAATAAGAGTAAAAATAAATAAAAGTAAAAGTATCACATTAAAAAAATTTAAGTAAAAAGTAAACATTAAGTGAAAAGTAAACATTAAGTTAAAAAGTATCCATATTAAAATCTACTTTAGAGTAAAGTACAGATCTTTTTTTTTTTTTTTTTACTAAGTACAGTACTTTACTACTTTTACTTTATTACGTTTGACCACTGACCATTGTGTGTGTGATTGTTGTTCCTTCTTAAACCAGGGAGCGCTCCTATTACTGCATACCCAACCTTAAAAGTATTTCCAATCAACAACTTTATTTTCAGAGTGGGATTCACGTACTTTAGCAGCAGCTCAGTCTTATCCTGAACACCGCCATAGCAACAGAACCGTCTCATCACTTCCCTGGTGTTATCAGAGATCTTTATCTACAGACAATTTATTTGATCATCCACCTACACATTTTTGAAGGTTTTATGAAATTTTCACTGATGGCAAATTGTTAAGCAAATGCAGCAGGTCTTGAGATGAAGAAACCCCATACCTCGGTGACAGTACTGATGCCAGGGTCTTTCTGCGCAACCTGAAATAGGACATGAAATGGATGATGTGAATTCAAGTGTTATTTCTCCATTAGCAAAGCACCACTAAAGCAGCAAGTGAATGTTTCAACAATAAACACAAAAACATTATAGAAAACCGGCAACATTTCTACCATTGAGCATAATCACGGTGAAAAGGGCTTCTCCCATTACACAAGGCACTCCGGTGGTTGCCGTATCTCTTTTAGTTTTAGTTACCACACACACTCGAGGTGGAGGTGATAACAAATGTTGAATGTTGTCATGGTAACCACTCCGGCTTGGCTCCAAAGCCTACTTTAATTATGTGTCAGATCTTGTATTTATAACATAACAGCAGAAAATGTGTAATGTGGTTTAATAACAAGAGAGCTCCCTACCGTCACGCCCTGAACCAGCCCTTGCAGCGACATGGTCATCTGGAAAAAAGCACTGTGTTAGTTAATTAATAAATAACACCTCATAAGCCAGTGCAGTTAGAATATTCTGATACTTTACAGCTGATAGCATCATGGCCCTAGATAATGTTGATGATAACAGAAAGCACTGCTCTGTCTGAAGCTCTTACTCAATTTACAGGGCAGCTGCGGGGTCTTAAAATTCTTAAAAAGGTCTTAAATTTCATGCTCCTAAATTTAAAAAGTCTTAAATTATGTTGTCCAAGTCTTATTTTTTATTATTTAAAGCAGTGAGTAATGGTCATTATTAGAATTGCATCTGGTGTTTTTTGTCTGCATAATGGGTGCAATGTTGGTCTTAATTTTCATTTAAGTGGTCTTAAAAAGGTCTTTAAAAAGTCTTAAATTTGGGGTAGTCAAACCTGGGGATACCCTGATTTAGACTTAAAGATGCTTTGTGTAACTCTTCTAGTGGAGGGTTTGTCAAATGCTTTTCTCTATGGAGATGTTATTGCTTTGTCTGGAATGTTTCACAGTATGGAGACCAAACCAGACCAAGTTACAGGTCAGATTTGTAGAGAGGCAGCCCTACTCACAGTCACAATGCCTGATTTTCTAGGTATTTTTGAGATATAAAACCACCTCTAATTGGGTAAATGTAAGGTGGAGCTGTTTAATGTCATATTGTGGAAGATTCCAGGCCGTGCAATGACATATCCACAGAAACAAGCAGGTGACGGACCCCCAACCAAAAAGTTACATTGTGCAGCTTTGACGGTTAATCTGAGTTTTTGAGTTTATCACAGTCTGACCCAGAAGATGACTTGGGTGGAACCACAACAGGTCCAAAACCTCAAATGGGGTCCATCGCCTATTGCAACATCTCTTCATTACGACATGTCTCTATTTAGTGCCGGTTTTCCGACACTTTATAGTACTGCTATTCCGACACATCATATATATATTGCGAGTTGCGATAGTCTACCCAGGCATGTCTCTCACTGTTCTTCGATGTTCTTAATCTCGACAACTATCAAGTCACACACAAAACCGACACACACAGTAACCAACTTCATAATGACAAATATTTGTAGTCCATGTTTTCCGTCCATGCCCAGGTCAACAATATCTCTTTGCACTTTATGTACAAGCACTTTGGCACTACTGTGTAATGTGGCCGAAGTATTCTCTGATTGCTTTACACCAGCCCAAGCCAAAGTATAAAAGGCTATAACGTTAATATTATTCATGTCGGAAAAGCGGAATGTTTGAAAAATAATAAAGTGCCGCTACTCCGACTATGCAAAAAAAGAAGTAGTGGGAGACCTGAAAAATGTATGCGGTTACTCCGATAATTAGACGTCTAAATAGCGGCATGTCGTAACAGCAGCATGTAATCAGTCACTCTCACTTTTTTGTTGAAAATCAAACACCTAAACAGGACCATGAACACTCATATTGATCACAGGCTCCTGAAAATGTCTTTTTTCAGTCCATTTTATATTTTTTTCTTGGGTGTTCAGATCACACTAAAACGCATTTGTCAGTGTTCACTAATGTGTGTCACCATGGTAACCACTGAACACTCCATCAATAGATACACATGTAGAACACCCCCAAGCATTACGTCACTGCAAAGTATCAATGCGAAGAAGAATTCATGGTTGTCATTATAGGTAAAGAAACACTGTGCACATCGGGCTATTTTGGAGCATGAAGTAAAGTCAGTGAAGTGTTCAAGGAGAAGGGAAGGTCAATGGGAATTTAACGAGGCAGCAAGCCGGGCGCACGATTCACACACACTCCACATCGATCACTGAATCTGTTTCACCCTTTAATTATTTATTACTCCGGGTTTTATGGGGCAAAAGACAACAGCAATGGTTGTATTTGTTTGAAAGTAGAATCTCAACATTGTACTGGTTAATTCCTTCATTAAAGCGAACGTATTATGCTATTTACTGATCTATATTATAATGTTGTTTCGTCATCGTAAACATACCTGGCGCTGTGTTTTGTTTCATTCACACATGTTTGACACATTATTTAGGCTCTTCTCTCAAACTGAAAACACTGTTCCACCTTGTGATGTCATGTGGTAAGTAGGAGGGGTTTCACTGTTTTTAAACACCGTACACCTTCACTAGAAACATTTGGATAATTTCAGCTCTGGAATTGTCAATTTCTGAACTAAAAGTAAAAGGTAAATGTTAACTTGAAAACTACCACTTCGTGACATCACAAGGTGGAACAGAGCATTTTGAGCTTTGGGGATAGACTTAGACTTAGGAAATTATTGGGACACAGTAGCTCACAAATCACAATATAATATAATAACAATGAAGAAATATAAATGGTAATAATAAATTCTAAATAAGTAGCAAAAAAGAAAACAAGAGACATGTGTCAAAAAGACATAATTATATAAATGTATATGTACAAGTCAAAATAAAATTGAAAGATAAGTAATAAAATATAAAATCACAGCTTTATAGAAGAGGTCATAGAGAAAGAGAGTGCAACAATGATACGATCATTGACAGGACATAGGGTTATCTGTTACATAGGGGTCAGTTGTTGTACAGTTGTTGGGAATATTATCTGTTACATAATATATATAGATACAGATATAGACTGACTAATAATAAACGGTTACTCAAACATGTGTGAATGAAACAAAACACAACTCCACGTATGTTTTTGATGAGGTAACAACATGGCTTAAAGCTCACAAGAGTCAATTTTGCATAATATAGGATGTATAAAAGTGGTATATCAGGGGTTAAGGCTGGGTCAGGTCATTTAGTTTGTTTCCAAAATGTGTGATTGATCCGTTTTGTCGTTGACTGTGTGTGTAGTTCCAGTGTTATATTATATTTTAGGTTTGGATTTTAAAAGTATTTCACATTTTTGAGTATTTAATAGTAGTTGTGAAGGTCAAAAAAGCCACTACCCAGATACTAATTGATATTAAAACCAGTGTCAAAACCACAGACGATATAAAGAAGTGGACTAAATGAGTGAGACGTCACCAGCAGCATTCTGCTCCAGTCAAATGAAGCTCATGAGGCTAGCAGTTATAGGAGCAAATTTGGATCGAGTTCCATATTTGGAATAGGAATTTATTAACGGACAAAATAGCAAAATAAAAAACACTAGGATCATGTAGCGTGGGTTAATACAAACATTTTAAGACCAAAATGACAAAGCTCACTGCAGCAGTCAAACAAAGAGGGGCGATAATCTTTCAATGTAAAGTCAACTGGAGCCAAAGACAATGGAGTTGGAAGCGGAAGTGGAAATAAAGTGGATTTGGATTTAGTCTATGGTCAGAACTTGATAGTCCTTTAGGCAAGTATCTATACAAAAATGAAAATGAAAACAAATACATACTTACAATAGGTGTAAGTAGGACCTGTATCGAATAGTTCAAGACTAGTTTTAATGTTTAATGTGAATATAAGTTTTTCTTCTTACCACTCCTTTTTTGAGAAATTTGCTTTTTCTGTTGTTTACAATGTACATGTAGTATGCATGATTATTGTTTCTCTTTTGGCACAAACTCAAAATAAAACGAATCCAATCAAATCTATCAGTGCTGGTGTAAGTCCTCAAAAAATTACATGCTATATTCAAAGGTCATAATTCTATTTATTATCACTTCTAATCCAAATGCCATTTCAAATATTATACAAAGTTGTCCTTAGTAGACAAAAAAATCCCATTACCTTTAAGCAGTCCCTTTTAGATGAGTTCAGAGCTGTAGATTCACACACAGACATATGTAAAAGTTGTGTGGGCCCACTACAATATGTGGGGACCTCGTGACCTTGTTGAAATTAACCTCTGGCCACATGAAAGACCATTCTATTGTCACAAACAGCAGTCAGCACTGAGCACAATAAAGGTCCTATAGACAACAATGAGTGTACTTTGTCTGTACTTTCTGCGTACTTTGTGTACTTGAACGCATTCCAGCTGACTATAAACAGAATCACTTTCGCACCTACTATGTAACAATAATCTATGTCGCAAACACCAACACAATAGCAGCTGTCATTGCCATCTGCTCGCGCTGGCATACGACCAGTTACTCCTACTTTTTCACACTATTAGTTATTTTCAAACTACAATTGGGCAACTCTCATTTGATCTCAGTGCTTTATTTTGTATATCCTACTGATGCATTATATTTTATGTGCATTAAACTTGGTCCTCTTTACTCAAACCAAACAGGCCTATAGATATTTCATACAGTCTAAAATATTCTCTATATTGTCCAATAATTGTCCTGGATTTTAGTATTTACCATAACAAGGAAAGTCCACATCACTTCTCCCAGGCCTCTAACATAAGTCACTCAAAAATCATAATCAATACTGAAACCAGAAGTGGAAATATATTCTCATTTGAATAAACTAAAAAGCCCTTTCCTGAACACTTTTAGAATGATCTTGAGCTGCATCAGAACTTTCTTATAAGACCACATTTAGTTTTGAAGTTTACAGACATTGTTATTACCATTTTATATTCAATTTGGTTTTGAATATCTAGCCTGTTCCTTACTATTAAAATTTTACACTAACAACAACACTAAATCCTTCTAACAATACGTCAGCTCTAGTAGCTCCAACCATCGCCTCACTATCCAAAACACTTAATTACACACTAATCATGTCCTTATAATCTAAAAAGAACAAAACACATTGTAAATAAAACAAAAGAGCCCAAAACCAAAATGACTAATTTGTCTTTTTTCACAGTGACTCCACAGCTCATATGTGATTTATTACTGTACGTGGTGGAGGAAAGTGCCTGTTCCTGTGGTGAGCCCCACCACTGAACACAGTACATGTTCAGGCATTCTGGTCTTCTGCGGAAAACCACATGGTAACCACAAATAATTCCCACTTGAAGTCCCTGAGGTCTCTGTCACCACTGAACTGTAAGCACTGAAAAAGATACTTGTTTGGCACCAGCGTGGTTCTGCTAATATCTACATCAGTCCTACACACATTATGAATAACATTAGAACTTGATGTTGTATATTTCCCCTTGTATTACCAAACATTTGTTTCTGAAGCTGTAAGTTATAAGACGTTCCCCTGATAGTATCGTGCTCCGCCATGCACATGACCCAACAGTAAATGTGGTATTATCTTCTTTTTGGTACAGTTTTAGGTTCTAGAGGTTAAACTCATTTTGGTGATAATTTGACCCTACGCACACACAGCTTGCACACTACTAAGGTGTTCACAGTGCACAATAAAGTATTCTCCTTCATGTGGTTTGAGTTTTATCAACACCTAGCCTCTTCAAAACAGTCTCTGATTTCAAATTTAACACAATCCTCTTACTTTGTTTTTACGCATAGGCAATAACAATGAGATACACATATCTTATATCTATGCTCGGATCCTGCGTGTGAATCCAGTGCCTATGGCCGCTATGCATGCCTCCATCCAGGCCACTGTTTACCAACAAGAGCGCGCAGGCCGTGGAAGCATGTTGCAGATGCGCAGGAGCCCAGCTGTTGACAGCAGCAGCAGCGTGTGAGATAGAGTAACGGGAAAGCGGTACCTCCTCAGCCGTGAGCCCGTGGCAGAATGTCAGCGTCTTCTCTGGGTCCATGGCGAAAGATGGAGATCACACAGAACCGAGGTGACACCGGTAGAAGCGATATGATGTTAGTGTGCTACACCGCCGCTGTCCCACTCCATAGAAGCGGCTGTCTCCCCATCCGCCATTCCCCCGGACGGACAGACGCGAGGACAGACGGAGACGCACGCCCCTCCCAGACTACGCTACACACGGAGGCAGGGTCTGTGCTGAGGGCTGTGCTGCTGGAGGACCGTACTGCCCACGGCGCAATAGTAGGCAGCAGCAGCAGCAGCAGCAGCCCTATGTAGTAAATACATCTGTTACATGGAGTGTTCTCGCAGGGGGTGATGTCATGCCTCTCAGCCCACACGGCACTTCAACACGAGTCGCGCCGGTGATTGGCCAGGGCTCCCAGCAACAGCCGCACGCGGGCTGCACCAAGCGACTACACACACCATACTACAGGCATTTACTACAACCCTACAGTGTCCACCGCCCCATACACGCCATAATCCATGAACAAACCCACCACGAACTAGTTTTAATCCTACAAATTCTGAAAATCACCACGTTTTTTTTTTCTTAAAGCACTGGACCAAAGTGATAGGCCTATAGGTCATGTAGCAGCTGAGTTGCTTTAAAGTTGTGTGACCATGGCATTTGGAGATGGCACTATAGCGCATAATCTTTTCCAGATGATCCACTGTCTCTTTATTTATAAACCTGAGATTTCAGTATTCCTTCAACACTAGGCCCACAGTTTACCTTGAACTACCCACAACACAAAAGAAACCGTAAAACTAAAAGTGGGTCTATAGTAGTAGGCACGTGGGAGTGTTGCATAGGTCCATAAGGCGCACTGAGGATGCTGAAAAAGAGAAAGACGTGTCTCTAAGCAACCGAGGAGGCAGAGTCCACCTGTCGTAGAGTAGAGTAGAGCCCTCGTGCACGTGTGAAACGATATTAGAAAACGTGAATACTGTAATAGTAGTGACCACAGCTGACCTCACAGGACCGTGCTGGGGTGACTGTTTTGAGGGGATTCTGTTTACGCTCAGTGATTTCCAGTGACCGTGAAAAAGGAGGACTGTTCATAAAGTTCTCCACAAGGGGGCAGCACGATACAGTATTTTTAGACATAGAGTGGGTTAGACTGTTTTTAGTGTCAGGCCAACTATGACCATTGACATGCACTAGCCTAGCACCAGCGACCTCTGCAAATACAAGGAATGGATGGAATATTTTAAAAAGTGTCTCCACACATCTCCAACACTCTGGCTCACTAGGAAATTAGGTCCTATGTCCAAATACCAGACTGTCCTTTTAATCTGAATTCTGACTATGTGCAGGCTTGCTTCTCCATAGATCTGACCAATAACCTGTTTCCAATGTGAGTACGAAGTTTATGTCCATGCTATGGAATTATCCAGGCAAAACAGTAGTATCTCCATGGAGACAAGCAGGGGATGGACCCTCCACCAGAAAAGTTACACAGTGCACCTTTAAATTAACAACTCAAATAAATATTTTTGAATATTTTGAATTCAAATCCTCAATATATCCACTATTTATTAACAGAACTTAATGCTATGTAACTGCCTTTGTGCTTTACTGTTAATATATGTTCAATTTTTAATGCTTTTATTTTGACAAGTGGATCCCAGGATGAATTATCTTTGACCAATGGGGATTCTTAAAGGTGCACTGTGTGATTTTTCCGATGAAGCGCCTGCCACCGATACTTGTCTCTAAGAAAATGTTATTGCTTTGCCAAGACTTTTTTAGTCTTTTAGAGATTTCTGTCTTCATGGAGACAAGCAGATGACACCACCAGGCCATATTACAAGTCAGATCTAGGGAGAGACTACCCCACACACCATTTTTCAATTTATTTAATGCGATATTGTGAAACTTTGCAGGTTAAAAAATACAATCTCAGACAAGACTTCTATTTGAAAAGCTACACAGAGCACTTTTAAATAAATAAACCCAAACATAAAAAAAAAAAAAAAGTGTGTTCAAATATTATATAGCTTTGCGGGTCTAGTAAGAAAAACAAACAAAATGAGCACGTTACACAGCAGATTGAGAACTATATTTAGCTGCCCAACACATTTTCAAAAGCCCACGAAAGTTTTCCATTGCATCAGCGCATCTGTGTGTTTGTGATCTGATGTGTTTGGTTACACTTAATGACACAATATGACCAGAGACACTTCCTCTGACCTGTCACTACACAACACACATACAGACACATACACACATGTACAAACACAGTCAGATACTCACACACACATACATACGCACACTCACACTTACACACTCAGTACACAAGGAATCCTCTGTAATGAGCCACACCTCCATGTTTGCTCACACCAAAAATAAACCTAACACTAACTACAATATTTAGGAAAATCTGCACGGTACCACAAAGCTCCAAAATGGTGTCAATGCAAATAAACCTGATTATAAGCTGTTTCTCTTTTCTTTCATAACAGAATTGGCTTTGGCTGTTGGAGAAGAAGAGCTCACAACTGCACTAGAGAGATTTAACAGAGAGAGAAAGCACTTTTAAAGCATTTAGCTGAAAAATTGGGTAAAACAAAAGCATGTTTATATCATTTTGGGTGTTTTTATTGCACTGAAAAATGTAGGAAACACTTTGTCTGTACATATTCAAAACCTGACGCTTATTTTTGTCTGGGGGAGGGCCTCTTCCTGCTTGTCTTCATAGAAATTTTGTTCTTTAGGCAGTTTCTCCATGCAGCCAACTATATCTCCCAAGTATAGTTTTAGATTTCTTTTTCCATGGATAATGCAGGTGACATGTCACCTGATTCATCAGCTGGTTTTGTGGAAAATGTCTGACTTTGCCACATTAGAATTTGTTTGCTCGATGGTAGGTGGGTACTTTTTTATTTAACCGATCTCTGCTATTTGGTCGTGACATACATAATGTGCCAAAACCCACAGGAAGAAGGGTAATAATGTCTTTCCTCTTGATAAAATTCACCAAACATTCTCTTTGTTCCAGCTTTAAATCCTTGATCTCAGGAATCGCTGCCAACACAAAATGTATGTCTTCGTCTACATCCATCTCGACCACTTTGTTTACTGTTGTGCTGTTCGGTGCGCGGTCTACAACATCTGGGGTTCTTGCAAACCATCTAGTCACTAGATTCTAGTGTATTTCGATTCCTGGCCTAGTAGCTGGAGAGACATGAAATTGATCGGAGGCACTAAGTGGCATCAGCCTGGCTAGGTGACATGCCATCTCTGGAAAATTACACAATGTTGCTTTAGTGGGCCCATATTACACCATTTTCTGATCTATGTTATAATGTTGCTACCTCTTCAAAAACAGACCTGGAGTTGTGTTTTGTTTCTTTTACACACTCTGTTTAACACACAAACCCTGCATATTTAGACTGAGTTCTTCTCTCAAACACTCCAAAACACTCTGTTCCACCTTGTGATGTCATGCGGTAATACAGGAAGTGCTCCAATGTCTTACTTAGTTACTATATAGACCTTTTTTAGAATCATTTGGATAATTTCAGCCCTGGAATTGCCAATATCTTCTGATCAAAATGTAAAATTTTGCTGTTGAAAACCCTGCTTCATGACATCACAAGGTGGAACAGAGCATTTTGAGCTTCAGAGATGTAGACAGACTCATCATAAAGGATTACTCAAACATGTGTGAATGAAACAAAACACAACTCCAGCAACAACATTATAACATTACTTAAAGCTCAATTTAGCATAATATAGGACCTAAAAGACATAAAACACATCGACTACAACTAATATTTTCACAATTTATCTTTAATTTTTTTTGTAATTTTGCCCTTCACAAATATGCAGTACTACAAATCACCATGCAGTGTTTTCTCCCTTATATTCCCCCTTTCCCCACACATACTATTTTCAACAAACAGTAGTTGCATTGAAGCGTTTCGGATGGTTCCTTGACATACAGTAAATTCTTGTCTGACATCGGAGGTGTTATAATGTCACAGTTTATTGTATGACTTCAAGGCCATCGCCACGGTAACATCAGGGTGGGGTGCAGCCGCTAACCCGAGCTGCTGAGTGAACGTTTTCCACCTGATGCCGAGAATGTCTTTGAGTTCTGTGCTTCATTACGACGCTGCTGCTGCACAAGTGTCTGCTGACGGGTGGATATTTATTTTTGCATCAGCTTGAAGTTATGGCTAAGTATCAGTTTGAGGAAAATGAGAATGAAAGAAGGCAAGAAAAAAAGAATTTAGATACAGAAAGTGTAGTTTTGCCAAATGTTGCAGTAACAATCTTCAGGACTGTAATTGTGAATTGTCTTCTACTCTGGAAATATATGGGTACAAATGTTCATTACTACTTTGAACACTACTATACCTAAATGAGCCTTAATAAAGTGTTAACAAAGACTTAATCCATAATGAACAAATGCTTTATTAAGAATGGTTCAGGCTTTTTTGTTTTGTTTTGTTTTGTGTGTTAGCCTTATATTTATTTATTGCTATTCTATAATTTTGCTCTTATTTTATTTTACTAGTTTCATTATTTTAATACTAGTATGATTAAATCTGAGTGTTTATTTTATCATTTTATTATTGTTGTTATTATTATGTATTTGTGCAGCACTTTGGAAACAGTTTGTTTGTGAAAAGTGCTATATAAATAAAGTGGATTGGATTGGCTATTTTGTTATGTCTTATGTTTATTTTGTTATTTATGTGCTGCGTATTCATTCCCTCAACATTACAAAAAATTATAAATAATAATAATTAAAAAGAAAATGGTTCAGGCTTTGTAATGACCTAATTATGGGGTAAGAGTTATATTTGTTCATGCTTTATTAAATAAGGCCTTACAATCTCAGTATCATTTCATAATTTGCATATTTTAAATCGCAATATTAATCGAAAACAACTTAATAAAAGATACAAGGTCGCTGACATTTGTATTAGAAAAGTGCAATCACAATAAATATCTGCACAGCACATGTAGCAAGTAGCACTTTTTAAATAAAAATTACTAAAATGACTTCACGACACTGCCAAATCCTATGTATATCACTGATTAAGAAACTAGGTAATGAAGTAAGTAAAGAGGAGTGGGTGTACGCCGGTAGAGGTGGTCGAAAATAAAAAAAAATTAAAGATTACTGAAAACATGCACGAATCTCTCCAAATACAACTTGGAGTGAGTAAATTAGTAAATGATCAACCTTAACAAAAAAAAAAATGCAGCCAACTTTCTGTTACTTTTTTAACAACATAGTTTC